ATGCTCTAGAAGTGCAGTACACCTCTAGCATAAAAATTATATGTATTTAAAGTCAATTTCTGCCACTCTGGGAGGCTGAAGCGGGAGGCTCACAATTTGGAGCCCAGCCTGGGCAACTTAGTAACTTAGCAAAATCCTGTCTCAAAGAGAGAGAGGGATGGAAGGACAGAAGGAGGGAGGGGGAGAGAGAGAGGGAGATGTAGCTTAGTGTAAAGGCTCTGGGTTCGGCCCCCTGTCCCACCCCCAAAAAGTCATCCCTGCCATAGTTAAAAAGTAAAAAATGCACAGGAAAATTCCCATATTGTGCACATTTAACTGTACAGGTTTCCATACAACAGCATCACGTTGCCATGGCATTTTCTCTTCCCCTCAGGAGTCGTGCAGCCTCTTCACAGCACGCACTGGGGCTACATTTATGTCTGAATACAACTCAAGAATGAAATAAAGTTTTCTTATAACAAGCAATTTTCTAATATTCATTACTAGTAGCCAGTGTTACAAAATGAGAAAAATTCATTTAAAATAGTATTTTAAGTAGTACTTTTAATTATACTAACCAAGAATCATAATTATTGATGACTGTACTTTTGTGAACCACACAAAAAAGTTAGTAAAAGCATTAAATGATACTCATTTTAGCCTCCGTGCTATATAACAATGAGAAGTACATCCCTTTATGTGTTTGTGTCTTATAGTCATATTACCTTGATTTTTATTTGACTTTTGTTTTAGAGTAGTAATTCTCAAGGGAGGGCCCTTTTTTTGGTCACCCACGGGACAGTTGGTACTTACTGCACGGAGACATATTTGGTTGTCACACCCAGAGGATGCTGCTGACATCTAGTGGGTAAAAGCCTGAGGCACTGTGAAACTTAGCTCACAAAGTAGGTCCTATAAAAAGAATTATGTAGCTCGCTGGCTGAGGATGTCCACAGTACCAAGGTTAAGGTAGTACTTTCTAAAGAATGGGTGTTTGGGTTTGGTGCCAGTTAGTTTGAGTTCTGGCTCCACACTAGTGGAAGTCAGGAGTTCAGTTCCACAGGGACTAGTTAAGTTTTCTGTAGCCCTGCACCCCAATCTCAACCAGATGTCTTGAACACTTCCTACTGAATTCAAGAACAGTGACAGTGTAGAAGATGTTTTAGTATAGTCATGACCGCTGTGGCAAACCTCTCAAATGATGATTTTTACTTCAACCCTGGTACTCCCCATGTGTCATTCTATCCAGGGTGACAGGTCCCGAGAACGAGGTACCTGCGGATAAACAGAAAAAGTAAGAGAGACAAGAAAAAGAAGAGAGGCAAAAGTTGGGATCAGGGGGCTTCCAGCCTCTTGGACTGCAGCCCTGATTACCAATCTCAGTCACCTCTTATTAAGCAAGAACCGAGGGTATAGCTAGTACAAATGGGCGGATACCAAATGTTTTAGTAATTAAAGGACAATCCTTCTCCAGTTCTGCCTCTTATGCTGCTGGCAACAATCCCCTGGTGGGCCTCCCACACTCAGCACCACACTTACTCAGTTCAGCTGGGGCTTAGAAGCTGACCACCAGTTATCAATCCACTACAATCACAGTCCTTATTTCCCATTAATTTTTTTTTTTTTTTTTTTTTTTTTTATGTCATTTGTGCTGACTATGCAGTTCAGGCTGGCCTTGAGCTCACTTTGTAGGCCACGCTGGTCGCTGGTCTCAAACTCGCAATGATCCTCCTGCCTCAGCCTCCCCCAAGTGCTGGGATTACAGGTGTGCACCACCACGCCCGGCTTTACTTCCCATCAATTTTTACAGTGTATGGCAAGACTGAAGAACAGGGATCTCCTGCAATTCAAATACATTCTTCAGGTGAAAGGTTTCAGTTCATTTTTGCAACAATAAACCGATCATTGTGCGTCCTCAGTGCTTTCTAATCAAAGAATGTCCATCTGCACACCCATGGGCTGCTTCTGGCTGGATTGGAATCAGGATGTAAACTGATGCTCCCTCACTTGCATGCAGCTCTCCAGCTCCAGCCAGTCCTGCCCCTGCAGGGAAAGTGGGTGGGGAACAAGCAGCTCTCCACAGCACTTAGACCCACACCCATCAGACACCTGCAGACAAGTGCTGGGAATAAGTAGCAGTTAATGCTGATAAAGTTGTTCTTCGTGGCTGGTTCATAGGGGACAGTGTTTCACCATTGTCTTGTGAGCTTATTGGTCAAACCCAGGGCCTTGTGCATACTGAGCAAGCACTTTACCACTGAGCTACACTCCCAACCCCTTGTTTCCCATGACAGGTTGATCTACTGTGAACAAGGAGAGTTGCATTTAGACAGTGATGGCAAATCTATGCCACACGTGTTATTGTGTTTAAGACAGAAGATGTCAAGCCAGGCATGGTGGCGCATGCCTGTAAGCCCAGCACTCAAGAGGCTGAGGCAGGAGGATCATTGCGAGTTCAAGACCAGCCTCGGCTACAAAGTGAGCTCAAGGCCAGTCTGAACTCCATAACGAGACCGTGTCTCAAAAAAAAAAAAAGACAAAAGGTGTCAATATAGAGTTGTTTTTTCTAAATTAAAAACCTCAGTATTCAGGTTGAACTGCAGTGCTGGCACTTAGTGATAAGAGGGTTTAGGGTTACAGTTTGGCACTTGATCGCCATCACTGGCCTAAAACATTTATTGGTATGCAAGAAATAATTAAGGATAATATAGAACAATTCTGACTTTTATATAAAGTATTTCTTAAAATATACTACCTAAGAAAGCACTATAATAAGCCAAGATTTATATAATTGGAATTGTGAAAATTTCTTTAAAATTTGACCATTTGACTCTGCTCTAATTCAAAACAGATATAAGTAAAAATACAATGTGAAAGAAATACTTGGGATAGTTTTCATAAAATAGTCTCTTTTTTGCACACAAATGTTTATAATAGTTTTATTCATAATCACCAAAATCTGTAAGCAACAAAGACATGCAGTAGATGAGTGGATATTCGACTGTAGTACATCCATACAAGAGGAAATTATTCAGCAGTAAAATAAATGAACCACACAAGAAGACATGGAGGAGTTTCAAGTGTATATTGCTTTAAAAAGTCAGTGTGAAAAGCATACATAATCATATGATTCCATTTATATGACTTTTTTGAGGTGCGCACCGGGAATCGTACTCAGGACCTTACACTTGGCCGGAAGGCACTTGTGCCACTGAGCTATATCCCTGGCCTCTGTATGACTTTTTGAAATAGGTAAAACTATAGCAATAGTAAAAAGATTATTTAACACAAAGAGTGAGCCCTAACATAAACTATGAACTTTAGTTAGTAAAAGTAGATGAATATTGGCTCATCAGTTATGACAAATGAACCATAAGAGTGTAAGATGTTATTAATAGAGAAAACTTGGGAGGGACATGGAAACTGTCCATATTTTCTGCTTGCTTTTTTTCATAAAACTTAAAACTTTTTTATGACACAAAGTCTAGTAATTTATTTTACTATACAGTGAATATAATTCTTTTTATGGAAAAAAGTGAAGCAAAATTTCATAACAGAATAATAGAATAACAACAGTTAATATATGGCATATTGCTATCTTTAAAGTAATCATTCAGAGAACAAGTTGTGAGCGTAAAAAATTCTCCAGACAGTACTACCACAAACATTTCTTTTCAGTGAACTTAGAGATGCTAGTAGTATAACTATCTTGTATTAATAGTCTCTTTTGTACAAAGTGGCTCCTTGGTATTGTGGAAGCACAGTTATTTAATATATTTGATATTTGGGAGAATGTACATACATAATGGAAAAACAATTAGCTTTGATTGTCCTAATACTTCCTAGTGAACTGGTTGCCTTTGGACCATTTGACTGCTACATGGCTGCTTCAGACCTAAAAAGTAGAATACTAAAATGATAGTAACAAACAGGGAAACAAGATAGTCACATGGAAGAGTGACCAGGAGGAGGGCAGAGAGGACAGAGTTTGGAGTTAGACCCAGGGGACACGGACTGTGGCCTGTTGTTGATGCTGGTTGTGCTCATGGACCAGCTACAGCTCTTTGATGGTCATAAAATGTATCACTTGCTCAAGGTCATGTGAGTGGGGACTGAGTAGCTGAAGCTTTACTTTCTAAATCTGTCTTTCTTCCCTTTAAAATCATTCTGTTGGTGACTGTCTCGTTGCTTGTTGTAAGGAGTGATCACGATCATCCCTGGGGAGCCAGGGGTGGTGGCACCTACCTGTAATCCCAGCTACAGAGGAGGCTGAGGCAAAAGGAGGTTCATGAGTTCAAGGCTGGCATGGGCAACATCGTGAGTCCCTATGTCAAAACAAACACAAAGGATGTGTAAATTGTGGAGAAGCACCAATAAATCTTCAGTCCCTTGACTGTTCTGAGTTCTGTCAAATAAAATGTAGTACTTAGTCCCTTTCATCAGAGTCTGTCTTCTTGGGTTTTGAGAGACACGTGCTATAGACTGAATCTTAAATATCTGGAAGTCAAGGTCTAGTACTGCATTTACTACTAATGCTTATGCGTAGTTTATGAGTAATGATGAGTGATCATTAGTATAAACGCCAGTGATGCTAACAGTGTCCCTGGAACAGTTGGCGTAGTGCTTTATTCTTTCTACACTGGCTTTGGCTTTAGAGCACACAGTTTTAACGCACTGTACTCACAGGCCATGGAAGCATAGAGAGCGGTGAGGGCTTGGTAGTGAGCGATCATGGTGCAGATAGGGCAGTGGTGAAATGTTAAATGACCATATTTAAGGCTTATGAGTTTATCAAGTAATGAATTTCTACAGCTTAAAGGTATTCTTAAGGGAAACCGTTACCTTTTTTTCATAGCAATGGCATGGCTTAGAAGAATGCAACAGCCGAGAGTGTAGTATAGTCATTTCCTGGACTCCTCACGAGTTACCAACATGCTCACCACATCACCCTGGGGGAATTATACTGAATTTTACCATGCACTCTCCGCTAACTGGACTTCCTCCTTCCCCCTTGGCTGCAGACCCGAATTATCTCATGGCTAACGAACGCATGAACCTGATGAACATGGCCAAGCTCAGTATCAAGGGTTTGATCGAGTCAGCTCTGAACCTGGGCAGGACTCTGGACTCTGACTATGCACCCCTCCAGCAGTTCTTCGTGGTGATGGAGCACTGTCTGAAGCATGGCCTGAGAGGTAGGCTTGGTCTCCCATGCAGAGGTGCATGCAGCTGGCTCCTGGCAGTTTGCAACTCCCAAAGAAAGCATTCTCCCCATGGACTCTATAATATAATCTGCAAGAATGTAGGTTCTGTGAGAGCAGAGCTCTGATGACTTAAAAGACTAACAGGGCTTTAAAATACAGATCATTAAACATTAAAGTCAGAAGGGACATCACAAGGGCTTTAGTCCAGTACAGCAGCTCTGTCCAGTAGATGGGGCAGTAGGCCTGCCCATCATGAGACATGACTCGCCCAAGGCCACAGTGATTGGGGCACAGCAGGTGCTAGAACTCACGTCTCCTGACCTGCTTCAGGGTTCATGACCCCAAGCCTTTGAGGCAGGACCCAGTCTTATTCCCTTTGCTTCCTTTCTCCTTCCCTTCTCAGTATGCAGACTGAGAAACATTGTTCTTTTCCATTGGACTATTTTCTTTACTAATACTGTAAAGCTTTAAGTACCAAATTAGTAAAATGTTTTATTAGAGCATTGGGCCACAAGTTCTTCCTGAAAAGGAAGGATTAAGTCTTGGAAAGTAGAGACTTCTTTATTTTCATAAAATTTTATTTATTCTGAAAGCAAGAATAATTTTTAAGTTGTCTAGTAACCTAGAGTTGGGTCCTTAAAAAGATGGGAGAAGTGTGGGATGTGTGTGTGTATTAAGAGTCTTTATACTGTGAAATTATTGAAGTGGTACTTTGTTTTTGTTTTAGCGAAGAAAACCTTTCTTGGACAAAATAAATCCTTCTGGGGGCCTCTAGAACTGGTAGAAAAACTTGTTCCAGAAGCTGCAGAAATAACAGCAAGTGTTAAAGATCTTCCAGGACTCAAGTAAGTCTAAGGGTGAATTCTGTTTCTTAAGAGCACGTTCTTATTGTTTCCTTGAAGGATGGTAGTAAAGGTGACAATGTCCGTAATCATTTTATAGCAATCCAAAAGGCACACTGTTGTTATGAATAAACAGTTATGAGAGAAGTGGTACGTACAATTTTAAGAGAAGTGTGCTTTTGAAAGGTAATTATTCATCCAAGAGAATTGTCTTTATGTTAAAATACCAGGCATTTTCTTATTTCTTTCTTTCTTGAGGCTGGGAGAATCAGCCTCAAGAAATTCAGTCTAGGAAGGTGGCATGCTTGATCTAACAGAGTAAAAAACAAAACAAACACATACTCAGCAGGGCTTATCGGTGCGTACTTACAATCCCCAGCACTTAGGAGCCTGATACGAGAGGATCAAAAGTTTGAGGACAGCCAAGGCCACATAATGAGTTCAGGACCAGGCTGGACTTCATAGCAAGATCCCATCTCAAAAGAAAAAGCATTGAGTGGAGTTCGAGAACCAGTATTAAAACAGATATCAAATGAACCTTAGGAACTGCCACCTACAACTTGCCTTAAAATATGGGATTACTGATCACCCTCCCAAATGCAGTTAGTTTAATTTTAAGCATATAAAGGATTAAATTTTCTGTGTCTGCAGTAGCCTTTGTCTAGTACCATAATCCACACTAAATTTAGGGGGATTTTTCAGTACAAATCTGGAGGGATGTTTCTAGCCGGGTTTCCAGAGGTCTCGTCTTCATAATGTAGTTACATGCAGTGATTAATATTTTTGCAAAGGCATCTGTCCCAAGTATACACTCAAGTCTCAGTATCCCACAAGAATCCCTTGCACTGGGATGTGTTGGAAAGATTATGAGAGCACTTATTACTGGGAGACCACTGGCCAGAGCGGGTGAGTCTGCTCCACTGTGGCCCCTGCCTCTGTTAACTATGATGTTATACTTACATTTTGGGTTACTGTGTTTTCTAGGACACCAGTAGGCAGAGGAAGAGCCTGGCTTCGTTTGGCATTGATGCAAAAGAAACTGTCGGAGTACATGAAAGCCTTGATCAATAAAAAGGAACTTCTCAGGTATGAACATCTTTTTTTAGCTTTCTTCTTTCTTTGGTATGTTCTATATCGTACAGAACAACATGGATTAATCTGATGAGTATAATGTTGAGCAAAGAAATAAAACACACAAAAAATATATTGTGTATTGTTCCATTTATATAAAGTTCAAAACATAAATTTTTATAATAGGAAAGAAGCCACTCCTGCCCAGTGGCTTTCAAGTTTCTGGTGATACAGTTTGTCAGTCTGGATGCTGGATGCATGCATGTGTTTGCTCTAAAATGCATGTGGGCTGGGGCTGTAATGCAGTGGGATAGTGCTTACCTAGTATTGTAAGGCCCTGTTTCAATCCTCAGTAGCACAAAAAAGAAAAAAAAAATTACCTGTGCAAATCTGTGCCCTTTTGCATATTTTTTTTATAAACTGTTAAATTTTACCAAAAGAAATTCAAACATAGCAGATTGCCTCTGAGAAATAGTATGAGGAAGAAGTAACAGAATTTAGAGAAATAGCTGGATTTTCTAAGAATCCAGTTTTTACAAAAACTGCACTGCAGATCATAATGGAGCATTGTCTTGGTTTTGCCTCAGCTACATATGCCACTGATTTGTTATATTCTTCCAAAGAAAGTTGAGTAAGTCAGGAGAAAGACAACTAGGACCATTCTGTGGAGTTAAATGTTTCTGCAAAGCAAGGGTTCAGTTTCCCAGGGCCAAGCCTTAAAATGACACATGGTCTAGTTCTCAAGCACTAGGAAGCTGCAGGGGGTGTCTTTGATCAGACTTGTATGGTTCTAGATGGAGCCTGAAGTATTAACTGGCAGTCTTTTGAACTTGATAGAATAGTTCTTCATATACATAATTTTATTGCTTTGACCTAGTCATTTCACTCCTAGTTACACTAAAGAAATGCATATGGTATGTGTACCAAAAAGTCTGGACTGCAGTGTTCTTAGAAACCCTGTAGCCTACATACACCAGAAGTATTCCAGATGTCTATCAACAACGAGTGGAGTAGATACATTGCAGCATATTCCTGCATGGAATACTACTGACCAGCCATGAAAACACATGAACTACAGCTACATACAGTAATATATATAAATCTCACAAATGAATTACACAAAGGAAGCCATAAACAGAAGAGTTACATACTATATGATTCACTTACATAAAATTTTTAAATGGGTAGACACAATCTATGATAATAGAAATCAAGCTAGTATTATGGTTACGCTGGAGAGATGAGGATAGTGTTTGGGAAAGAACAGAAGATTTCTAGGACTCTTTCCTGATCAGGACAGCTATTGCACAGATATGTCTCTCAAGAAATGAATGCAGCATGTGCATATTTTTCTGTCTAGATGTTAATCACCAAGTCAGGAAAACTAAGACAACGTCTATGCCACTCAGGAGCTTACAGTGTGATGTTGTTACCTGCTTTTGTGATGTCTGCTGCTGGGTGGATATAGCCATGCTCAGCTTCTGTGCAGCTACCTAAACTTTTAAGATGAGACTTCAGGAGAACAAACTGGTACTCAGTTTTCTTCAGGGGCTCTCGAAGAACGATAGCATGTGGTCAGTTCTGAGAGATGCAGTACATTTATAGATCATTTTTCTGCTGTGTTGAACTGTTCTACTGTTTGCTAATGTCTTTTATGGAGAATCAGAGAAAAGAGAAACTAAAATCAAGAAATGATATGGACTGTTAGCAGTGATTGAGGTTGTAAGTCCCAGGTGACTTTTGCAGTGTAGTAGATTGCAGTGGTGTTTTAATCAAGAGTGATTGAAAACGAGTATTTCGGGTCACTGGGCTAGTTTTGTTTTGTCTTTGTTTTATTTTTTGGTACTGGGGATTAAGCCTGCTGAGCTACAGCCCAACCATCAGGGGAAAATGTGTAATTTTATTTTAGAGCACACGTAGGAATTTCAGGTTCCTAGCAGTATTGAGCAGACATACAGAGATCCCTGCATCCTCCCCTCCCCTGCACAGGCACGGCGTGACCCCTCAGCAGTATCCCACACCAGAATGTATGTTTGTGTTCATTACTGAGCCTGTATGGACACGAGTGTCTCCAAAATCAGCAGTTACGTTAAGGTTCACTCTTGGTATTATGCATTGTATGGTTTTTAAACATGCATAATGGCATGTGGCTACATGTCTCTGTAGTATCACATAGAGTGGCTCTAAAATTCTCCCATGCTCCATCAGTTTATCCCTCCCTCATTCAGCCTTGGCAAACACTGATCCTTTTACCATTGCCCTGGGTTTTCTTTTTCCAGAAAGTCAAGTAGTTGAAATGATACAGCATGTAGCACTTTCAAACTGCTCCTTCTCACTTAGTAATACACATTTAAGGTTCCTCTCGTCTTTTCATAGCTTGGTAGTCTATGTTTTAGTACAGAATCATGTTCCACTATCTGTATGTATCACACGGTTGGTTTATCCATTCCCTTACTGAAGAATATCGTGGTTGCTTTCAAGTTGGGGCAGTTATGAATAAAGCTGCTCTGAACACTCAGGTACAGGATCTTGTGTGGATCCCACTTGGGTAAATACCAAGAGATGAGATGGGGTTATTCAGTAAGAGTTTATCACTGAGGTTTTGTGTATTGGGAATCACTGCATCACTTAGCAGTATTTAATCATCTGAGGGTCTTCTCAAGAATTTTTACCCATTTTAGAAAATTTCACTTCTAGGTAGATTTTTTTCTCTCTGTTTGTTTTTGTTTTTATTTTTTAGACAACGCCTTGCTATGTAGTTCAGGCTAGCCTTGTACTCACTATGTAGCCCAGACTGGCTTCAAACTCACAGCAATCCTCCTGCCTCAGCCTTGATTACTGGGATTATAGGTGTGAGCCACCATGCCTATCTTCTTGGTGTCTTGAGACAGGTTCGCACTATGCAGTCCAGGTTGGCCTTGAACTCGCTTATGTAGCCCAAGCTGGCCTCATATTTGTGACGGTCCTCATGCCTTAGCTTCCCATGCCCATACCTAGCCATGTTTCTCTTTTGATTTTTTGTTTTTTTGTCATTTTCAGCCTGTTTTGCATGTATGTGTTTGTAGCCTTTTGAAATTGCTCCATCCATAAACTGATGGAGCATTGGCTAAGGAAGAGGAAGTTTTGGCTAGAGGAGTACAGAACACATACAATAGGATGTTACAACCCGTATAAGCAAAGTTGTGGGAAATTTTTTATTAAAACAGAAAGATGCTGTTAAGTCAAAAACAGTTTTCAAGTTACTTATAATGGTATAATCCTTTTTTATTTTTCCTTATATCTCCATATATTATCTGAAATGTTATATATTGTCTTAACTTATTAGTAAGTAGAATTATATGGTTTCTTTCACATTTATTTTCCTTGCTTTTTTCTGTGATGGAAATTGATTTTATTAAACAATAAAAGTGATCCCCTAAAATTTTATTTTATTTTATTTTAAAGAATTGAAAAAGAAAAGAACAATAGTAAAATGCCAACAACATAGACAAAAACAAAACACCAAAAACAGTAAGAATGATACAGGGCTTCAGAACAAAATGATAAGGATTAACAGTGGTTGTTATATTACATATTTTTATCTTCATCAAAGTTAGTCAAATTACCAGGTATAAGAATGCAAGATTAATCAAACCATTAAAGGTAATAAAAAATAAAAACAAAAAAATTATAAACAATACAGAATTTTACCAAACAAGATGATAGGAATTCAACAATGGTTGTTATGTTACATATTGTTGTCTTCAAATTATTGGTTCAGATTACCAGATATAAGCATGCAGAATTGGTCAGAAAAACAATTAAGTAAAGCATTAACTGTTCCTTTCAGTAAACCATTAGACATCAGCACTACAGGTATCCCATCTATCCTTCTGTATACATATATATATTTTCCTTTCCTTCTTTCCTTCCTTTTCTCCTTTCCCTAATCCCAGTTGTTTCCTCTTTGGAGCAATTTCTTTCCCTTCCCCAATATCTACTGTATGTTTTGGGTTCCACTTACTCTTTCATGTTCTTATACTAAGGAGACAACATGATGTCTGCACATGTAGGTCCAATTTATTTCATTTATGAGTATGGTCTCCATTTGCATCCATTTACCTATAAAAGCCTCGAGTTTATCTTTTTTTATAGCTAATACTCCATTGTATAAAAATACCTTTTTTATCCATTCCTCATTCAGTCTATTAGGTTGCTGCTTGTTAGGCATCTTTTGTTAGTCAAAACTAATATATATATATAATTTAGCAGTTCACTTTTTCCATTAGTACATGTCTGTGGTACATGGTTGCATTCATCATAGGGAGTTGGTACATAACACTTTTTTTTTTTTTTTTGAGACAGGGTCTTGCTATGTAGTTCAGGTTGGCCTTGAACTCATGGCAGTCCTCCTGCCTCTGCCTCCTGAGTGCTGGGATTACAGGTATGCGCCACCATACCTGGCCTCATAACACATTTTAAAGTTCACATTTTAAAGATCTTTATTCAGTGCATTACAGAAATGGTGTGCTTAGATAGGCTAAATAGAAAAAGGCAATCTTTTTAAAAAAGTTTCTAAGATGCCTAACAAACTGCAAAATTATCCCATGGTACACCACAAATACAAATACATCTGAATACTCACTTCAACCACAGTACCATACTGCTACTATTTTTTTCAGCCAGACCCTCCACATACTGTCTAAAGAGTTATTCATATGCCCGCTACCTCAGACATTTACCAAAACCTTTGTACTGTTTCACTTTTTCACTCTTAACCATAGATGACAGTATCCAACCATGAGGTAAGCATTTTTCTCCTTGGCTTCATGATGGGTTTCCAGGTCTTATCACAGTACTCTGTGGATTCTCTTTCAGTGAATTCTATGAACCGAACGCCCTCATGATGGAAGAAGAAGGGGCTATTATCGCTGGTCTGCTGGTGGGGCTGAATGTCATTGATGCTAATTTCTGTATGAAAGGAGAAGATCTGGACTCTCAGGTATGGGAAAAATGTTCATTTAACCCAGTATGTCACTCTGTGTTCTCTTACATTATGATGTGGATTCATAAGGTATCAATCAAGTTAGAGGAAAGTAAATTATAAATAAAATTTCCTTTAGTTTTGATGTGAATATTAAAAATCAGATTTTGTCTTCTGGAATGTTTTTTCAAATTATTGCCTTGGCTGTGATACTTATGAAGTATATAATCTTATATATAACTGCAGGGTAATAGGGTAGTTATGAGTGAAGCCTCTGAAGCCAAACCTGGCAGCGTGAACTATGTTTAAATCTGACCTTCCTCATCTCCCAGCAGAATATATGTTGGAGTTACACAATTCCTTAGTGCTTTGAATTCTTTGATACAAAGTGGGGATAAAAAAATGTGTTTGACAGAGTTATTGTGAGGAATGCAGGAGTTAGCACTTGTAATTCTCTTAGAAACAGGGCCTAGCACATGTTAATTGCTGAACAAATAAAAATGCTGATTCCAGTCTGGCTACTTCTCACCCTTTCTCTCTGAAACACTAAAATGAACTTTGGTTAGGTTTTACTCTGGGAAAAAAGGAAAGGAAATATCATTTGTTTGGGATTTTACCAAATAAATTAGCTGGATAATAAAACGGCAGTCTTAGATGAATATGTATATCAATGAAAGTTAAAGAAGAGACATCAAAATGTGAGCAGTGGCTATCTTTTTTTTTTTTGTCTTTTTGAGACGGGGTCTCACTATGCAGTCCATGCTAGCCTTGAGCTCACTTTGTAGCCCTGGCTGGTCTTGAACTTGCAACAATCCTCCTGCCTCAGCTTCCCAAGTGCTGGGATTACAGGTGCATGCCACCATGCCCGGCTTGATCTTTTTTTTTGGTCCTGGGAATCGAACTCGGGACCTTGCATTTGCCAGGCAGGCACTGTGCCACTGAGCCACTGAGCTGTATCCTCAGCCCCAGCAGTGGCCATTTTAAGGTGGTGAGATTATGGGCCTTCTGTATTACTTTTTTGGTGTTCTCTGAAACTTAGGGGAATGTCCATTATTTTTGTAATTATAACTTTTAAAAATTATTCCTAGAAGTGACTAGCAGTTCCATAGCAGAATACCTGAAATAAGTAAAAAAGAAACTTGAAGAGCATATTTGTGTTTATATTAAGCTTTCTATTCACTTTCTTAGTCATGATCTGGTCTAGGTCCTATTGATTTAATCTTGATTCTTTCAACTCATGTCAATCCTTAATTACATTTTAAGGAAAACATGACATTTTCATCATAAATTTCTGGTTTTATATGACAGTCTTATCATTTGTGTACCTAGAGAGAGACATTGTTTGGTGCCTTTGAGAAATTATCTAATTTTGTATTGAATTCTGAAAATCTCTGTAGGTTGGAGTTATAGACTTTTCCATGTATCTGAAGGATGGGAACAGCAGTAAAGGTAGTGAAGGGTATGTACAAAGAAAATTGGATTTCTCCTCTTTCTCTTCAGTATTTTCCCCTTTTGTAGTGTTGCAAGTTTATCTCCATAACAATGCAGCAGACTTGCCAAACGATTTTCTGAAGGTGGATTTAATAAAGTCTTGCTGAGAATATCTGACTATTGTTCCTGCTGCCAAACCCTGAAAGGATTTTTAGTTAAATGATTGTTTTGTTCTTTGGCTCAGGAGCAAACAAAGTAAAACTTTATAATAGGATTCCAGTTTCTCTACCTGTTAAAGTGGTGTTTGAAAACACAGTTTTTCTTAAAAGGGACTGCATTCTCAATTTACTTAAAATTTGCAGTATGAAATATGCATCATGGGGTTACATAAAACATTAACATAAGGTCAGGCATGATGGTGCATGCCTGTAATCCTAACTCCTCAGAAGGTAAAGCAGGAGAATCACAAGTTTGGGCGCAGCCTGGGCAATGCAGCAAGAACTGTCGCAAAACAAAAAAGCAGACATTATGGGGAGCTGAATGAAAGGTTTATGGAATGTTTACAACCTTCACAACTCTTCTTGTAAGTCCAAAATTATTTCAAAATAAAACGGTAAATTTTTAAAATATTATTTATGGTACTTGGTGATTAGAGAACAGAAGTGCAACTTACACCTTTTACATACTTAGCAGTTAAAAGTATAATAATTAGTTCAAAGTTTTAACTGTGGACATTGAGTCTAAGAGTATATCACTTATTCTGCAGTTGTAGACTTTATTTGGCATTCAGGTGAAGAGTCTGTTTATGCATATTATGCATATTATAGATTCGTTGGTTCTAAGTGCTTGTCTTTTATACCATTTACTTTGAATATGTATATATAGTACTTATATACAGCGCTTAAAGGCAAATACACGGCCTTTGACAATAATATATTACAACAGAGTGAATTTAATTCAGCTTCTGTGACAAGTGGAAAATTGTTGCTATAAATAATACTAGTGAAGCTGAAAAGTTAACTTGCAAAAAGAAAACTTTATAAGCCACTGATAGAGCATAAAATGTAATACCTAAAACCCAAGTTAGCAAGGTTTGTAAGCACTTCCTGTTTTTCTTAATTTTACCTCACTTTTTTGAGTATAATTGAAATAAAATCATATATATTTACATCATACATCATGTTTTCAGATACATATACATTGTGAAATGATTACTATAATCAAGTTAATTTAACATCACCTCACATACTTACAGCAATTCTTAATTTCTTCCACTTAAAAACATGCTACAATAGCACAGATTCAAAAAGGGTAAAAAAAGAAAAATGTGCTCATCGCCAAGAAATTAAAACAATTACATGAATATTTTTCCAGAAAATTGATACTATATTTCTATACATTAATATACTTTTTTTTGGTGGGGTACCAGAAATCAAACTCAGGACCTTGCACTTGCCAGGCAGATGCTGCACCACTGATTTATATCCCCAGCTTCTAATACACTTTTTAAAATAAAACGTAGATAATGCCATATGTACTGTTTTATGACCTGCTATTTCATTTAACAGAGTGTAGTAGAAACCTTTCACCTCAATAAATTCATATCAACTTTATCTCTTTAACTTTTTCTTTTTTTTGCTTTTTGAGACAGAGTGTCACTATGCAGTCCACACTGGCTTTGAGCACACTTTGTAGTCCAGGCTGGTCTCAAACTTGCAACAATCCTCCTACCTCAGCCTCCCGAGTGCTGGGATTACAGGCGTGTGTCACCACACCTGGCTATCTCTTAACTATTTAATCAATAACTTTTTTCCATCCCCTTTCCCTCCCTTACTCCCCCTCTTATTTTCCATTTGTCTTAATAACAGTCTCCCTCCTACGTTCATGTCATCATTTCTAGATTCCACATACTAGGGAAAACATGCAGTATTTTTCCTCCGAGCGCAGCCTGTCTCACTTAAGAGGATCACTAATTCCTTCCATTTTTTTATAGATGATATGCAGAATTCCATTTTTGTTACTACTGCATAATGCTCCATTGTGTGTATATAACACACTTTCTTCAGCTGTTCATCTATTGATGGGCACCTAGACAGATTCCATACCTTGGCTGTTGTGGATTGTGCTTCACTAAAGAGGTGCGCAGGTATCGCGATAGTGTGCTGGCTTTAATTCCTCCTGGCGTATGCCATGGAGTGTTATAGTTGGATCAAATGGTAGTTCTCTTTTTAGGGAGCATTTTTTGTGGAGCTCTTTTTGTTTGTTATCCCAAAAGAAAACACTCTGCCTACTAGCTATCATGTCCCAGTCTCCCTCCACTAAGTCCAGGCAACCACTGAATCACTCTACCCTTCATAGAGTTTCCTATTCTGGGAATTTTTTTTTACTTCAAAATAGAACATTCTCATAGCAACAGTAAAGAGTTTCACACAACCAAAGAAATGGAAATCCTGCAAAGTGAGTTCTCACCATCTATTATTAGAGTGAAACTAGAAAGGAACAGCAGAAACATACTTAGAATGCAGTAACTTTCTATTTAAGCACTTCATCAACATGGATTTCTTTTTTTTCCTTCCAGTAGTGCAGATCAAAACCAAAGCCTTCATACTGAGTTCCATCCCCAGCCCTTTGTTATTTCTAGTTTGAGACAGGGTCTTACTGAGTCACTGAGTTGCTCAGGCTGGGTTTGAACTTGTGATCCTCCCGCATCCACTTCCAAGACTCTGGGATTATAGATGCGCACTATGACACCCAGCTTCGTCTCGGAACTTCTGAGCCTTTCTTGTTGGTGTGTCATGGGTTATATGTCACGTCTGTCTTCTGGCTCAGTGTATCTGTGCCCTAATTTTCTTCTTACAATTTATGAAAAGAGTGGGTAGGAGGAAGGACTTTGGTATTTCCAGTGTTACTTGCTTGACCTTTATTTCCTCTTCCCTACTCCCAGGGATGGTCAGATTACTGCAATTCTGGACCAGAAGAACTATGTCGAAGAACTCAACAGACATCTGAAGTAAATAATGAATAAATAATTCTCTTTTACTAAGATTTGTTGGGAGAGAGTAAATTCAGAATATATTCATCAGACATACAGCATTGTAGCTGGCAGGCATTTAGTTAGGATATGACAAGATTTAACTGTTTCAGTGAGCTTTGATAAAAGGCAATCTCAGATTATTATGAAATTATAACTCTAGTGATTAAAAGCATTCACTGTAAAATGGGAAGAAACTTCAAAAGGAAAGAGGAGCTGGGATTGGGGAAAGTCCAAAAGAAGGAAGGGAAAAGAATTCTAAAATATGTGACACGTGGAATTCTTAACGCAGTGGATAAAGCCACAGATCACAAGGCTGAGCTGGAGTAAACGTCCCTTATTTGAGTTCCTTCAGATGACGCATCTTCCTGCTCCCTTGCGCTCCACATTTAGGCATTGAGTTCACTGTTACCAAGTCCTCACCAAGTACTGCAGAGCTCTCCAGACCAGAAAGCAGTTCCCCTGTCCAGAGAAGGGGGACCCACAACTGTTGATAACCTTGAGGACTTTGATATTTCTGTTTTACTAAAGACTGCTGATTAATTCAGGAGATCAGTATATCCATTAGTTATCCTGCTAATAGTTTGTAGAACTTCCATAAATTCTATAATGAAAGCCACTTTTAATTCAAGACTTACAATATGGCTGTGTTAGTATGGTGTAATGTTTTAGTTTTCTTGGTTATGGCTGACAAATGCAGTTCAAGTTCACTTTTTCTGGAGACCAAGAGCCCATCGTGACTATAATGAGCCTTAGAGATATCAGCCAACTCAAGCCAACTGTGTGACTGGTTGACGGTGAATACGAACATGACCCTGTTGTTTACTCTTTCCTTAGTTTCTAACACATAGGGTGGTTGTAGAGTAAACGAAATAATGCTGTGCAAGCAAAATAGCTCAGAAGAGTGGTTGTTGAGCAGGCTTGGTGGCTCACACCTGTAGCCCACACTTCTCAGGAGGCTGAGGCAGGGTGATCAAAGATTTGAGGCCAACCTTGGCAGCTCAGCAAGCTGCTGTCAGAGAATTCATAAGGGGCTTGGGGTATCACTCTGCTGCCCACGTTCAGTCATGGGGGGAGCTTAATTAAATATTTAACTGAATACATACTGCAGTACCAAAGATCCAGCCCCTGTGGCAAGACAGCCTGTAAGTCCATCGACAATTGTGGATACTAGATGATGAAGGATAAATGCGATGGAGGTCTGATAAAGAAGGTACAGCTTAACATTCTGTTTTTCAATGACAACTATATGGGTTTTTTCTTTTGACAGTGCTACAGTAAATAACCTCCAGGCCAAAGTAGATGCATTAGAAAAATCCAACACTAAACTGACAGAGGAGGTATGTGTTTTGGAAATACTTTGATCTGTAAAATTTAATAACATGCATTAGTGAAATGTTTATATCACCTTAGAAATAAAGGACCTGACTTTTCAGGTGCTATCTGCTCTAGCACGCAGCTCCTCGCTGTGACTGCGGTTGCACCTCAGCTTCTCTTGCATCCATCTGGACTGAACAGGCTCATTGGCCGATATGAACATTCTTTCTGGGCCGACCTCTAGTAGATATTTAGTACAAAAGCATGATATTCATCATCTCTTTGTTTAATAAGTATTTTGGGCACTATTCTATGCCGAACCTAGTTACCGATTTTTATGTGCCAAGCGCTGATTTATGTGTCCAGCATGGCAAGCTCCTGCCCCCGGGCCGTGGGGTAGATAAGGTAGTGAGCCCTGGTCGGAAGCCCGCCCGCCTGCTCATGCGGCCCGCTGCTCAGGGGTGCTGTGCTCTGGGTCAGTAGTCGCCTGACCCCTGAGGACCCGGCCTGTCGCTGGCCAGGACATGGTGTTGCTTCTTACCCTTTCGGCTTGAGTGACCCTGAAGAGCAGCTGAGGAAACTCTTGAACAAAGTCCCTAAAACAAGAAGAAAATTCACCTCATGTTCTACTTATGATTAATAAAGCTGGTTTTTCTGACATGCCAAAGGCTACATTATAGATTTTTTTCTTCAGTAACATTAGGTGTTTTTATGAAATATCATAAGTAAACTTACCAGTATTACAAAGATTGTCTTCTGTCTCCTACTATAGTGGCCCCATTATATACAGTAAGATAAATTTGGTTTAAGTAGAGTCAAATTAAAGTCAGGAATATGCTGTTGAACCAGTTTTTCTTCAAAAACAAGTTTGTTATAATTTTAAAACACTTTTGCAGCTCTGTGAGCTTCAGTTTTGAGTGAAGATTTTTATTTAAAAAAATTTTTTTGGGGGGGCTGGGGATTTAGCTCAGCGGCAAAAGCGCCTGCCTGGCAAGCGCTAGGTCGTGAGTTCGGTTCCCGGTACCGGAGAAAAACCAAAAAAAAAAACAAAAACAAAAACAAAAAAAATTTTTTTTTCGTACCAGGAATCAAACTCAGACCTTGAGCTTGCCAAGCCGGTGCTATACCACTGAGCTGTATCCCCAGGCCAAGATTTTAAAATTATGTATCAGAACTCTAATTCACAGAAATGCCTCTTAGAATCGTATCGCACAGGCCTGTCCATCTGGCACCTATGTTTTCTCCTCCAGCTGTGCTGCCACCCTGTGGAGAGGCACAGCGCAGCAGCTAGGCGGTCTCCACTCTTGCCCCCCGTACGCTCACAGCTGGCATTTGTAGCCTTTTAACCTTGAGCCAAATATCTAAGTCTCTCTTCCATTTCTTGGCTAACCTATCTATAAAATGGTTTGCTCATCTCTACCGTATAAAAATATTTTGTAAGGTTATTCACATTAACTGATTTGTGCACAGTAATGCCCTAGAACAGTGTCTGACGCTTACTAAGCACATAGTAAATGTGATGGTTGCTGGCACTGTAGCACACACCTGACATCCTGGCTACTTGGGAGACCGAGGCAGGAGCATCCTAAGTTCCCTGCAGACCTGGGCAACTAAGCAAGACTATCTCAAAAGTGAAAAGTACTGGGATACAGCTCAGTGGTAAAGCACCTCTGGGTTTAATCCTGTGCTGTCAACCACAACAAAGGGATGGGCTGTTAATTTTACCCCATCACAGAACTTTTCCCTGCCTTAGATTTATTACACTAACCATACTCATCTATTCCTTAATTATCTTACCGGTAACATTTATTTGCTTAAAACTGAATGTAGCACTATGTGTACTTTATAGAGAACAGATAAAGCTGGTCAGGGCTGCCTTTTGTCTTTTCCATTTTGAGATTTAAGAGGGCCAGTAGAAATGGACCTCTTTCCCCAGTATGAAAGGATCAGAACATGTCAGTGTCCCCTTGACCAATGATGAAGCTGAACTAACATGCCCAGCTGGGTCCAGAGCCAAAATTAGGTTTCATGGTTCTTTCTGTGAAGTTGAGTCTTGGACTCACCTGTCTGCAGTGAACTTAGATCTGGAGAGGAGACTGCTTGTCCCAAATCCCTTCTTACACTTCAGCAAGCCAACAAGCCAGACAGAAGCAGGCTTGGAGCTCAGCTTCGAAAGCAGAGCCACCCACCCTCTCATACACTCCCCAGCTGGACTGGGAGTCAGTAGAGCCCTCTGATACCAGCAAGGAGCTGGCTGCCCACTTCCCCCCCTGCGGGGCTCAGGCACTGCCCATCCTCGGGTACAGCTGAGTTCAGGAGGTACAGAGAGGGCAGTGTTTCAGCCTTGCTTTTCCCCACTGTAGAGTGGGAGCAGGCATGCAACCCCTTAGTAACACTCTGCCCGCAACAGGACCTTGTCCAGGCAGGTGCCTAGGATCTGCTAGGGTCTCTTCAGAAGCGAGGGCTCGGGGTCAGCGACAGAGATCTTCCGTGGAACTCAGGGCAACCTGGCTACATGGGCCTACAGCACACTGGGACCTCCTTACTACACACATTAGAAACAGGCCTTCTGAAGTTCTTTAGGAGAACTTTCTATTGATAGCTTTCTTTATTTCTAAGAATGAGCCTGAAAATTATTTCCTAAAAGATTTACACTGCTATTAAAGAATAAAAGATTATTTTTAAAATCTTACCACTAGCTTGCCGTTGCAAACAACAGGATTATTACCTTGCAAGAAGAAATGGAACGAGTGAAAGAAGAAAGCTCCTACATACTGGAATCCAGTCGGAAGGTGAGCCTTCCCTTGTTATAACACGGATGTACAAAATGTTCCTGGAGAGTGCGTGTGGGCTGCGGGGGAGGGGTCTCCAGAGGAGGCCACCTGCGCATCTTGCAATTGCCGTGCAGGCTGCAGGTGTGTGTGACAGTGAGGGCGACGCCTTCTCACCCCCATGCTTCTGCCGTCAGTGCCACCTGCGTACGTTTAACGACTGCAGGAAAGTGTAACTCAGTTTCCTGGATTTGTGATTTGTACTATATGCAGCTGCTGTATCTGTGATATTAAACATGCCGTTATCTTCACAGTGTGACTGTTCTGTAAGAACTGACACCTCATTAATCAGATATCCTGGGAAAGAGTTACCATAGAGTCTGCTGGATAACCTAATTGCTTGAAGCAACAAACTTTTATACGTGTCTACTTAGCTTTTTGGCAAGTTAATTGCACAATTTCAAGCCTTCTTTGTTAGAGGACATAACTCACTTAGCCACTTAGGATGGCTGAGGACCATAATTGTCAACACTGTACTAAATTATAATGGTGCTACTTTAAGGGACTATAGAAACTGATAGTCAGCCAGGTGTGGGGGTGCACACTTTCAATCCCAGTGCTCACTTGGGAGGCTGAGGCAGGACGATTGCCACAACTTCAAGGCCAGCCTGGGCTACATCGTGAGTTCAAGGCCACCTTGACTAAGACCCTCTCAGAAAAACAAACAAACTGTGCCCTGAGAGGAACAGAAGCAGTTTTCTGTGCCTAGAGTGAGGGGCATTGATGTGCCAACTTCATGATACACCTGTAAATGCTCAGAAGGATTTTTGGATGACATAGTTATTTTTAATGTGATCTATAGATAGTTGAAGACTCCAAATACGAGAACTCTGGAGAACTAATATACTATCACTTAAATGTTTGGCTCAATTCATATTTTTCAGTGAATACTGTTACTTCTTAAAAGCTATTTTTAAAATGTCCAGCTCATGTTTTGGGTAACATGTTTTAGGTTTTCAAGTAAAGTGGCAGGAAACTCCCAATTCAGCCAAACCTTTTAAAATTTTCTAGACTTTTTATTTTTTTAATTGTCTTAATTCATTGTTATATCTGCTTTTAAGTATACCACTTTTCTTTACTAAATAGTAATTCAAGTATCTGCTCTTTGCTGATTACTTAACTCCTTAAATATATATTATCTTACTTGTTTTTTCAAGGGTCCTAAGCAAGACAGAACTGCTGAAGGGCAAGCACTAACTGAAGCAAGAAAGCATTTAAAGGAGGAGACACAATTACGATTGGTAAGCATTGCTTAGGAACACAGAAGTTGGTTCCTGAGGTGGTGTTTTGCAGATCTGCTAATAAACAGGAATGTCAGTACTGCTCTGTAAAATTTTTATAAATCCGATGAAACTATTTTCTTATCCTTTGTAACCCGCATTTCCCATAATGCTTTTTCAGTCCGTGTTTTGAGTATTCTCAACAGCTGTAAGATTTTGCCAATATTTTTTTCTTTTACCTTTGTAGTTTGTATCACAGAAGTGTTAGATGACAGAAATTACTTTAAACTCTGCAGTCCCCACCCCTCCACCACCTGGCCCTTCGTGCCTGTGGAGAGTCAGCACCTAGAGGAAGCAGCTCCTCTTTCCCTTCCTAAGAATTGTAAATACAAAATTACACTCTTCAGCTGTTCTTTCTGGATTCGTTCTTGATCTTAGATACAAGTGAAAAAATGTATAGAAAGGAATACTATTCCTTTTTTGTTTTTGTTTTTTTAGGGGTGTTTTGGTTTTTCTGAGACAAGATCTTACTCTGTAGTCCAGGCTGGCCTCAAACTCATAAATAAACCCTATGTGAGCATTAGTAGCTCATGCAAAGTTTAGATATATGATGAACTAACGAAATTCATATCATAATGTCTCTAAGAATGGAGAAAAGCCTGAAATTAAGGGATGACTTAATCTGCATTAAAAAGTTATTACAAAGTACTAGTATAGCCAGGCATAGGGGCGTACACCTATAAGCCCAGCACTCAGGAAGCTGAGGCAGGAGGATCACCGCAAGTTTGAGGTCAGCCCTAACTATATAGTGAGTTCAGGGCCAACCTGAACTATATAGTGAGACCCAGTCTCAAAAGTCAAAACAAAACAAAAAAATATTAGCAGTATATGACAGTTTCAGGTTTTTTAAAATTGCAGTAATGTTATTTTAACATCCTTAAAATAGTTAGTACTTGCCATCCATATGGATAAAACTTAGATCTCAAAACACTCTTCATAAGGAGGGTCCTAGAAATAATACAGCGTTTTCATAGAGCCTATAGTTCATTTTCTGTCATGTACAGGGGGAGTCTCTGTTAAATGGTGCATACTCAAAATCTTTAAATTAAAAAAAAAAAATCTTTAAATTTTTCATGTTCTTTTATCACAATAAGGTAAATGTTAAGAAAGTAGGTGAGGCTCAGGGTGTGCCTGAGTATACAGGTCTTTGTATCTTTGCTCCTCTGAATAGTGTTGCAGTAATTGGCTGTGATATTGCATTCCTATAATCCCAGCACACTAGGAGGCTGAGGCAGTAGGATCACAGATTCAAGCCCAGCCTGGGTGACTTAGCAAGACCCTGTCTCAAAGTAATAAAAAAAAGTGTGGGGATATAGCTCAGTGCAGAAGCCCTGGGTTCAGTCCCCCGTGCTGATGTTGATGATGACACTGACAGTGGTGATGAGAATGTTGTTGCAGTGCTCCCTAAAAGTTCAGTTGCCTGTACTGACCGTTCCCTCTGCTAGGTTTCTTGGACTCTTGAATATATCAGCATGCAAATTGCAGAGAATTACACCTGCCTTGTTTTGTGCTGAATACTTTAACACTCTACATTTCTAAAATAAAACAGCATTTGTCTCAATGTCTGTTGAAGTACTGCCAAGATGTGATTCACTAGCCCTGTCTTCGGCTAGCAAGTTTTCAGATTTGCATGATTGAGAAAAGTTACTGTGTTACCCTAATCATTATTCTTACCATTAATGTCTCTGAACATGAATGACAGCTTTTGGCTATTTCACCAGAGCACGCAGACCTTCCTTTCCCTGTGAGACTGTGTGGCTTGCGCTTATGTCCTGGCAGGATGTTGAGAAGGAGCTGGAGCTCCAGATCAGCATGCGGCAGGAGATGGAGCTGGCCATGAAGCTGCTGGAGAAGGACGTGTGTGAGAAGCAGGAGGCGCTGGTGTCGCTGAGGCAGCAGCTAGATGACCTCAGGGCTCTCAAGCATGAACTGGCCTTCAAGCTGCAGGTAGGGGAGGAGGGGCTCGGCTCCCAGGACCTGGGGCTCTCCCACCCCTGTGCGGCGGTCACAATGGGGACATAATGGAGGCCCACTGCAGCAGTGTTCTGGACAGGCAGGCCATCATAGGGTCCCCCGGTGGTGTTCTGGAGAATCCAGGCCACTTTTTGCACTGCAGGGGGGGTTGGGAGGGACTCTTTATCCTGAGAACAGTTTCTACTCTAGCCTTAATATGTGAGCTGAGTTGCACATTCCACTCCCCCAGGCTGCACACATAACAGTACTAATCCTAACCAAATTGCTTTTTTTTTTCCATTTGGAAATTAACTGCTATGCAAACATATGAGCACTTTTATTTCCCTATTTTCTACTTACCATTAGGTTCAAACAGCATGTATAGTTATATTTCAGGATTTTATGTTATATAGATCTTCTATAATTATTTTACATACAGAGTTCAGACTTAGGAGTAAAACAGAAAAGTGAACTAAACAGTCGTTTGGAAGAGAAGACTAATCAGATGGCTGCTACCATTAAACAACTGGAACAAAGGTAAAATGCTGTTTTTTGTAGAAAAAACTGAGCTGTCAGTGTGAGCAGTGAGGAGACTTGCTATGCATTTAGCAAGTGGAAAATATATTAAATTCTTCCAACCTAAATCAGACATGTTAGTAGAAAGAAAGCCAGTTAGATTTTCTGTGTTTTCTAAAATGTCATTGAAAACATTGCCAAGAAACGTCATCCTTTTCTGAGTACTTTGAGCATCGGATGTGGGAATTTAACACACTGTAATTCCAAGCATTTGACTGATTGAGGCAGGAGAATTACTCGGAGTTTGAGGCCAGCTGGGCACATAGCGAATTCAAAGCCAGCCTGCACTACGCAGTGAGACCTTCTCTCAAAAAGGGAACGAGAACTTACCCCATTTCATTGTCATGATTAGAGGTATATGTGTACCAAGATGAGAGGACTTTGAAGGATGTGTTCGTAATTGTGTGGTTTTATTTTTTATCACCAAAGCCTTTGACTGCTTTAGTCCAGGTGATACCTAGACTGCATTCTGAGATAGGTGTCCTGCCAGGACCTGCTCTTGATCTTTCCCTCCCTCCTTCACCTTGAGCCCTTTTCTGTCTTCTGTGTTGTATTCTTTTTCTCTTGTGACCTTGTCCTGCATGGCCCAGTCGCTTCCTCTGACACCTCCGGGGCGCGTTCTGCTCTGCTCTGCACCTAGAGAGCAGTCTTGAGTCCTCGTCCTGCGCCACCACCTCGGCCTCCCGCCCCACACCCATGTGTACAGCTCACTCTGCCCAAAGCAGTCTCCCTGTGAGACTGATTCCTGTTTGTCTGAAAGCACTGTTTTCTTTCTAATGGCTCAGCAGCCAAGAGAAGTAGCTCAGATTCGAAGATTGAATGCAGCACCAGCGATCATTTGATGTTTGCACTTCTATTTTTTTAATTTTGAAAGAAATGGGCAAAAAAAGCGGTGACAAAGTTTATTTGAAATAGTAAAAGTGAAGAGGGAGGGAGAAGCTGGCTCTGCAGAGTGAGCTGGGGATGAATAAAAGGATAAAGCAAGATAGCAGTACACCCTGGAGGACACAGGGCAGGCTATGGTGAGGACAGCCCCGATAGCCTGGCATTTGCACTTTTCATTCCTGCTTAGCCCTTCCACTTGAGTACGACTGAACTTCCAGCCCGTGAATGTGCATTCCATCTGTCCCGTCTGTTTCTTTTCTGATAGTTCACCAAGCAGGGATGCCCTTCCCCTTCCACTTGGGAGTATTCTTCAGATTCATTTTTTACATTCGGGCTCAAATGGCACACACATGGCTTAACAGCTTCCTCCTGATACCTCTTCCCAGCGAGAAATAATGTCCTTGGGATTTCCATTTTCATGTCCATCTCTGTCTATACCACTACGGCACTTCTCACCATCTGCCTTATCTTCCAAGCCTTTATGTCTCCTATCTTCAGTAAGAATGTAAGCTCCATGAGGTTAGTGAGCTAATCTCTTAAGGTCCTTCATCAGATCTGTCTTAGTGCCCTGAATGTATGAGGCATAAGTTTAGCATATTGGTGAATGAATGAGTCAGTGACTTTTTTTCTTCAGGTGATTCTAAAGCAAGGAGGGCCCTGCACAGCGATGCGTATTAATATTTGCTAAAAAGTTAATTGTAGATTTACAAATAAGCTTGAACTCTCTGGTGTGGACGATAAATAAAAAGGTATTCTGGGTGTCGAGTGTGGGGTGCACACATGTAATCCAGATTCTCTGTGAGGCTGAGGCTGGTGGATCACAAGTCTGAGCCCAGCTTGGATGACCTAGTGAGACTCTGTCTCAAAATTTAAAAAAGGACTAGGGGTACAGCTCAGTGTGAAAGTTCTGGGTTTAATCCCCAGTACTACCAGAAAAAAAATGGTGTCCCAGAAAAGAAAGTTAATTAAAAACTGGCTTAGAGGTGGTTACAAGTTTATGACTTAGCAGATTGATTTTAGTATGCATCAGTTTTGCTTTTAAAGTGTATCAGATTATTTTTCAGTGATTTTTTGACTTGGGATTTAAAGTAAAGCTAAAATAATGATCCATCTCTCTGAATATTAAGCTGACTTGTTCTCTTACAATCTTTGTGTTCCCTGTTTATCCATTTTCTCATTCCCCTTTCAATTCATTTTCATTTTTATTTTATTTAGTGAAAAAGATTTGGTGAAACAGGCAAAGACCTTAAATAGTGCAGCAAATAAACTGATCCCAAAACATCATTAGGCATTTATATAGTTGGTCACCTCACAAGTCTGTTATCCCAAGTTAACTGTAAAAGGAAGAAATCTGAAAGTTATTACATTTAAATTCTAATCTATCTAAAATGTCACCAGAAGTTGGCTTTGAATTTATTGGGTTTTTAAAAACAGTTGGATATATATGTTGGGTTTTTTATATTATTTTCTTCTCAAAGTTAGAAAATTTGGTATAAATTCCAAATTAAATGCCAGATAAACTTAAGAAATTATTTCTGAGTTGACCAATAAGTAAAGCACCATTGAAAAGCCTAGGGAAATGAAGCTCTGTACATACATTAACGCTGCCTTTGCAGCCAGCTCTCGGCACTCGCGGCTTCGGCACGGTCCACCCCACGTCTGCGCCAGCAGCCTGCTCCACACTGCAGCAGAAAGGACCGAGCTGACCTGTGCGCTGGACTCTCTGAAGTAGCTCCGCGTCTTTTAGGCCACTGCCCCCTTTCACTTTCGTTATGTAGGTTAAATCCCCAAGTCAAGGATAAGTACTTAGTACAGTATTTCATTACAGTTCTCTTAATAACCCAAGTTGCTTGCAAGATTTTTGCCTTAGTGACTGAACAAAAGAAAAACAGCGTCCTTACATTTCTTTAAAGTCCATATTTTTTTGGTTTTTTTTTTTTTTTTTTTGGTTTTTTTCCGGTACCAGGAACCGAACTCATGACCTTGCGCTTGCCAGGCAGGCGCTTTGCCGCTGAGCTAAATCCCCAGCCCCTAAAGTCCATAGAGATAAAGTTAGTGATTAGGTAACTTACAGTAACATCATGTGGAAGCTTGAGAAACCCTCCTAATACTTGTCACCTTCTACCTCTGCCCCTTTCCTGCAGTTCCACTTCCAGTGCAGAGCAAACAACTTTCAAAAGAACACTCTTAAAAATGCACTATGCCCTCTTCAAACCTACTTTGCTGTCCTCCTGGCAAGGACAGCATACAGACATGAGTAACAATTCCTGTCTGCTCTTTCCTACCTGGAGACATTTACTGCTTCTGTTACTTTTTGTTTAGATGGGGATTTGCTGCAGGTTCTCAGAAACTAATAATTTAGTTAGTAGAAAAACATTTCAGAGTAGGAAACAGATAAATTATAAACTCACATTCTTTATTATTTACTATAAAAAAAAAAAAAAAAGATTCCCAGTAGATATACACAAGCAATATTAGCAGGGCTTCTTTTTCTAAGTGATCACAGATACAAGCCTTTCTGGGTTTTACATTGTAAATAATCCTATAAATACTTTGATTTTTTTTTTTTTTTAATGATTTTTGAGTTGCAGAGATAGGCTTTTACATAAGCCTCCATTCCTTCAAAAGATCTTGACAAATTTTTGAGACTTTTGTTTTTGGGTTTTTTTGGGTGGTTTGTTTTTTTTTTTCCTCTTTCCAGTATGTTTTGTAGCATTTTAGCTGCGGAAGTGGGGACAAAATAATTCATTTGTTTCCAGCTCATATTTTTTTCTTCTTGACAGAAACAGAACTAGGAGAGTAAGATAGAACCAAAACTAGGAGAGGTTTCATGTACGTCTTTTTTCTAGGTCCTTGAACCAAAATCAAGTCAAATAATATATGTTAAAACAAACTTCATGGAAGATCCTGTGCTCTTGAACATGTTTTAGTTCTACTAATTTTGCACCTACATAAATCAAATTTGCAGTGAATCACCTTTCTGTGAGCATTTGGAAGGAGTGATCAAACACCAAATAAAGACTACAAAACCATGCGTCCGATTTTATTACATAAAAGCCCAAAATATGATTCTTCATAGGTGCAAAGTCATACAATGTTCAAAAGAAGCATTTGTGAGATTCTTCTAGAGAGCAGGATTGGGAGTCTTACAAGACCTAGTGCTGAGTTCTTTGTTCAGTCTGTTGCACACCACTTGGCAGAATGGAAAGGAAAGAGACAGCCACATTCTCATAGAGACTTTTCGTGTATAGTAACCTGAAGCTTGGGTAAGGGCTGATGGGTAATTCCAGTGATATAAGTTATGTTTGGAGAAAGGGCCAGAAGATTCCACACATAAGGTAATTACCAGTAAGCACTTTCCAGCTATGTGTGTAACACAGAAATATAAAGTACCAGACCCACTAGAAAATGAAAACAAACAAATGAGTTAAATTCAAATTACTGTGTAGTTGAGGTTGGTTTTGGATATGGATTTTCTGAAAAGTGATGTTTTATTGTTTATCATCTAATGGCTGTAAACTGTAGTACTAGAATAAAAAAAGTGGAAAATCGGCTTTTCCTCTGCCTGGTTCACCTTCATCTTGCTTTTTAAAAGAATTTGTTTCTTTTCCATCTTTTTCCCTCATGATTTCTTTTTTGTGTGTCCTGCAAAGTGTTTCCCCTCTGTCTCCTTGTGCCTTCTTCCTTGGGTTATTTTATTTTGTGCTGTGAACTTGCTCTCCCCCACCATGGCTTTTGTTTTCATCACGAGTTCATGTGGCTCACATCCAGATTGCGCCTGGCTGAGCAAGGCCGCCAGTCGGCTGAGTTGGACAACCGGCTCTTCAAGCAGGACTTCGGGGACAAGATCAACAGTCTGCAGCTGGAAGTGGAGGAGCTGACCAGGCAGCGGTGAAGAGAGGGCAGCTGAGCTGACAGGGTTGGGTGCTGTCAGGCCAGACAGCCCATCTTTCCCTGTCTTTCCCTCGGGTTGGGATCAGGACAGCTTCCCATACATCAGCCTTCTCCAAATCCTGTCAACATCTTCTGTGATTAAGAAGTAGGAAAATAGCCAGGTGTGGTAGCGCACATACACCTGTAATCCCAGCACTGCGGAAGCTAAGTCAGGAGGATCACCATGAGTTCCAGGCTACCCTGAGCTGCTTACCTGTATTTCCCCCAAGATAAAACCAGGTCTTATATTAATTTTTGCTCCAGAAGACATAATGGGGCTTACTTTCAGGTGATTTATTCATGAATGACAACCCACATTTATTCAGATACAGTCATGTCATCATCTGAAACATTGCCATTACTCTCCAAACCCCAAATTCCGGCTTGAGTTTCTTGGGGTTCCATTTCCTGTAGATGCATTGGCCCCAGTCGCTCATGTCCAGCAAAAAAAGTGCTCCTTAAATGCACACTTCCTGTCCGAATAGCCTGCTCGTAATGTATCGTTACCACACAACATACTGAATTATGAACACTCACGTTAGACACGGTCACATCTGCCCTTGTGAGAGGCACACATTCGTGCATTGTCTGTGCGCCAGCTGGTCACTCGGCAACAGGTTTCAAGTTTGTTTACATAGGTGTTTATGTCTCATCCAGAGGCACCCACTTGGGTATTTACAAATACTTAATTTATGTTATTTATTTTTAAGTTTTACTATCAGTATTATTATTTATATATTAATATTGTTTATTGTTATTTTATGATCCAATATATCTGTTGTATGTTGCAGTGGATGTACTAAATGCATCCATCTTGCTGGTAATCTTAACAGGCTCATTTTGGGGGTAGGGCTTATTTTCAGGGAAAAATGGTAGTTTTAAGGCCAGCCTAAATTACATGGTAAGACCCTGTCTCAAAAAAAGTAAAAAATTAGGAAATTACAGCTCAGGGTTCCAGATAAATAGTAGTTAATAGCCAGCACAATGGTAGTTTCCTGAAATTGTGTTATGTCCGCATGCAGAGTCCCTCTCCCTGTCTTCCCATTGACTCCTTTAGTGGGTGATGTTACTGTCCGTCCTTTCATATGGAGTTACCGCATGGAGGGTTTAAGCAGGTCCAGATGCACACAGGTAAACTAACAAATGGCAACACTGTCCTTTAAAATCATGTTGCTCTGACTCCAGACCTTAACTCGTCTCCCACGTTTTCTCTCAAATGAACTCATATGCTGAAGCCACTGGACGTCTGTTGGATGTAAAACACAGCTCCTAGGACACGAGCTGAGGGCACAGCTGGTACTGAGTACATAAGTAGAAGAGAGACCCACCGCTCGGTGTGAAGTGGTATTCAGCGTCTGTACGCTTCCTACTATACTCTGATGACATTTACAAATACTGTTGCTCAGGTCTACAACTCTTCATTAAGAGCCAGTGTAAAATACTGGTATTTAACTTGGGCGTGGTGGCACAGCCTGTAATCCCATCACTCTGGGAGGTTGGGGCAAGAGGATTACAAGTTCCAGTCCAGCCTGAACAATTTAAGAGCTTAGTGAGACCCTGCCTCAAAATAAAAACTAAAAAAGAGACCTGTGGTGTAGCTCAGTACGAAGGTCCTGGGTTCAGTCCCCAGTATCAGCCCCCAAAACACATATGAGCATACCCACATACATGCACTCACCCAGCTGTTGAGAGTGCTGACCTTCAAGGACTGAGTGAGCCTAACGTGTATTGTTAATCACCCTAGAAAGATTAAGGGTATTTTTATGATTCTTAACGTTACTGGTTTTATTGCACTTCAGTACTTTAAAGCTTGGTTGTTTACATATGTCTGTAGCTTTTTATTTAAGTACTAATTGCTGAACTTCAGCATTCTTTAAAAAACATAAACATAGAAATATAAATTTTTCTCGTTTTTCTTTCCTGCTTATCCCAGGAACCAACTTGAATTAGAATTAAAACAGGAAAGAGAAAGAAGGTTACAGAACAGTCGGAGCCTGAGCCTGCCCGGCCAGGCTTCGCGGAGGCCGGAGCCCAAGACGGTAATATTTGTTAGTCCTTGTTCATTCGCTTCATTCATTTGTGTAGACAGAGCCCATCCCTGTCGTGGGTCACATGCTTAATTGCTGTGGCCTGGAGAATGTGGACAGCAAGCGAGAGAGTAAATAAGCAGAGGAAGCTAGAGAGCTTGATTTGAAGCCTTCCTCGTGCACTCGCTAGCTCAACTTGGTGACCTCTAGTGACTCACCTTGCTCTTCCACGTTTAAAGATTGTTATGGTACCTTAATAAAAATACATGTTTCTTGGATTTCTGCTTATAATTTTCAATAATATGATACAGTAATCCGTCCCAACCCTGAATTTCCCTTTACAGAATTTCTCAAATGTGGATTTGCTTTTTTACAATCGTCTCAGTCAGGAGGATTTCAGCTTGCATATACACACAGAGGGAACTGGGCTCAAGGAAGGGGTAGCGATGTAGGATAATTTAAGGAGAAGAGACAGAAACTTCTGCGGAACAGTCTTGAGACACCTTCAGCTCCTGTAAGCCTGAGGGAACTAAAACTGGCCAGGAGCCTCTTCGGCACCAAGAAACAGAGCAGCCTCTTCTGTATTGAACTCTGAGAAGCATGAGATACTTTTTCTAATCAAAGAAATCATTCCCTTTTTGTATGTGATTATATGTGACAAAGCATGGCATAGTTTTAAGTTTAGAATTTTTAGAGTGAGAGCTGCTGATTAGCTAGAGAATAAAAAACTGGTACATGTGGACAAATTATATAGCACCACTACCCGGTGCTGATCATTGCAAATGTGCCAGAGCCATCTATGAGACATACTGTCTTACCAGTTTAGTATAGTGAACCTAAAATCTGAAGGACTTACAGAGGTTTAATTAAAATCTTAGCCTCTCTTACCTTGTATTTCCAAAGAGGCTTTTAAGTCTCTCACTCTTGAATTGCCCAGCGCTAGGGTCTCTAGGAAGGTAAGCATTGCACTGACCTCTTTCCCTTGATATTTGAGTATAAAACACACATTCCATTTTTAGGAGCTGGATGGGCAGCAGTGGAAAGAGGTGTGTGTGTGTGTGTTTGTGGAGGTATGTGCCTGCGAACTGCCCGGGGGTCCTTGGGGCACGCGGCGCATCGCAAGCTGCAGCTTCGCAGCAGTCCTTGCATGTTGCAGACATGGTGGCACTGGGTTGTCCAGGTGACCGTCCACAAGCGACAGTCAGTGGGTATAGCCGTGCCCGCTTTCTCAGCTTTTCAGAGTTCATTCATGGGTGGTGAAGGGGATAAATGTATATTCCTCCTAAGAAGCAAAATATCTTGAAGTAAATGGGATGCATTTCATGTAAATCAGATACACACTGAATTTTACTAGGAATGTCAGGAATTAAAACCATGACTCTGAAGGTGATTTATTGCAAACTGTATCAGAACAGTTAAGAAACTACTTGGAGCAGAGTATGAGGAAACATGCTTGCAAGTTAGATCCCGCCCTAATTAACAGAAGCCACGCAGCTTCATAGCCAGGCTAAGGCAACACAGAGGAGTGTCTGCAATGTCATCATTGTTTAGCACCTGAGTAATTAATAAACTGGGTTATTTTCTTTTGGCAGGATGGGAGGCACAGAATTCAAGAGGAAAATGTTAAACTAAAAAAGCCCCTGGAAGAAAGCCACAGGTGTTTGTTAATCAAGTATTAACTAAGATAAAATCATTTTGGGGTGGTGGGAAAGGGGGAGATTTTGATAATACGTTGGCATTGACACAGACCAGACACTGATTTAGGCTATTAATTTGAAAGACATTTTGAAGCAAAGTAAATAAATAAACCATAAAACATTTTTAAGCCAAACCTACTAAACAATTTTAGAAGAAGGATAGTAAGTTGGGCATAGTGGTGCATGCCTGTAATCCCAGCACTTGGGAGGCTGAGGCAGGAGGATGGAGGATCGCCATGAGTTTGAGGCCAGCCTGGGCTACATACTGAGTTCAAGGTCAGCCTGAATTACATAGCGAGACTGTCTCCAAAAGCCAAAAAAAAGGAGGAGGTTAGGTCATTCTCTGGTTCTTTTCTTGATTAACCGAGAACTCAGTTATCACTTAAAAGATGAGTTTTCATCTGGCACGGTAGCACGCACCTGTAATCCCAGCTGCTCATGAGGCAGGGTGGGAGGCTTTGGAATTTAAGGCCAGCTTGGGCAATACAGCAAGAAGCTGTTGCAAAATTTAAAAAAAAATTATAAGGGCTGGGGATCTAGCTCAGTGTAGAGCTACCTGGGGTTCAGTCTCATACACCAAAAAGAAAAGGAAAAGTCATTTCTCATGTGTGCTCAGAATCCCAAGAGACGGACGCAGTCCTACCATTTCCTACACCCTTCAGTGTAGAGTATGACTTGCTTCTGCCTCTGCACTCAGGTTCAGGTAAAGGTGCTCAACTGCCACATTTCTTACTTCATTCTCTTGAGGGTCTCAGATTCATTTAGTTCCTTTTTCTTTAACTGGTCAACTGCATTAAAATTTGAACATTCAACTACTGACCCTGGGAGGAAAGTGAAGCCATGCAGACGGGTCTGTAGGAGGGGACCAAGTAGGCCGATTGCAGAGGACTTAGCCAGTAGAGCCCTCTGTGCGGTGCTGTGCTGAGGGCTCCCGTCACTGCACAGGACCTCACAGAGCCCACGCCGCCGAGGCTAACGGTGCGTCAGTGTGGCTCATCGAGGTCCCCAGGGTGCGCGAGTCTACTCTCCGTTCACCCTTGCTGCAGACCAGGCTTCAAACGCGAAGAGCGTGTCACCTTGAAAAGGTGGGGAGAGGTCGGGGAGGAGGAAAGGCCGGAGAGGAGTCTGGACAGAGCTGTCGAGTGTCTGCTTTGGGCAGGGTCCCTGTTTGCAGGCTGAGGACGAGGGCGTTGCCCTTGCTTTCCAGAGCAGAGGCAGTTGCTGGAGCCGTGAGCACCTGGGCACGGTGCAGGCTTGTATCTAAGGAGCCCTTGCCTCCGGAGGCGTTCACAGTGCTCCGCAAAACCCGGTAATTTCTTGTTTCCTAAGCTGCAGCTCAAGCCCTCACCCGTGACAGGGCAGCTGCTCTGCACAGACACAGGAGCGGGAACTAGAAAGGCCGCACACTCACCTGCTGAACGCTTTTCCGGCTCAGCCTAGTTTCAACTAGAGTCATCGCGCTGGGCCAGCGAGGGTGTCACAGATGGGAAATTCTGACTTAGGCACTGCTACTTCCTCACACTGGGATTGGTGTTGTGCTCCGCAGCTTAGAAAGTGTGCTTCACACTCAAGTTACTCTTTACAGAAATAGTCACTTGTTTCCACTTTGTAGATGAGAACACTGAGGAGCACAGAGGTGACATGATCCACCCCATAGCCTGTCCCTAAACACTTGGTCTCTGCATAACACAATGGGACCTTCTGGGGCCCATCCCAGCCAGAGTGCAGTTAGAGCATGCTGCTGCTTCCCCAGAGCCAGGGCTGGGCCTTGCTTCCCGCTTGTGGGTTGTTCATGTGGGGAGCCAGGTTACCTCAGCTTAGAAGAGCTATGTCAACCTGAATGGTTCTCACGTGACATTCTCAATCATTCCCCTTTCCTGATTAACTTGCTAAAGCTGTCATTTGAATAGTATTTGGGAGACAGACAGAAACTCAATATTGATTCGTTACGGAGGGCCATAATGTAGGTCGAGGGGTCAGACTCTAGTAATATAACAGGCAAAATTTCCAAAATCTTGGTAATCAAGATTAATAATTAATTTGTTCCTAAGAAATACAAAAGAACTACAATGTTGCTTGTTTGGCAAAATGTCTGTCTTCTGAACCTTTATTGGGATGACATACATGAAAATATATTAAACTGTTGTTACTGTTCTTTCTCCATTGTAGGCTGCAGTCTCACCCTGCAGATGAACAGGTAACTAAGTCTCCTGTTGTAAATTATCATCAAAATGAGTGAAGTTGTTGGTGTTCCATGCCTAGCCAGGAGATAAGGCTGCAGAGGAAGGAGATAAACGGGTACAGCCTTGTAATGGTGTCCTAAGCAGGCACCGCCTGAAGTTTCCACATGCTGGAGAACACAAATGCTGGGGGGCAGAGGGGGCGGTATGTAAGCCTGGCGTGGCTGTGCACACCTGTGATCCCAGCGCTCAGGAGGCTGTGGCAGGATGATCGCTGTGAGTTTGACGCCAGCCTAAGCTACATAACAAGACCCTGTCTCAAACAAACAAAAAGGAAATATAAATAAAATAACTCCAAATCTGTTTGTAAACGGGAATCATGTAGAGCAAGGGTCAGGAAGCAGCACAGCTTTGAGCAGTTTGCTAAGTAAACAACAGTTCTCCCTTGTTACTTAAAATTATCTTGAAATACTGAGATGCAGAAGCGCTCACTTTGCTTTTTTTTTTCTTTAAAGAAAATGATGTTTATTGGTAACTTTTTTCCCATTTCCCTCCACACACCCGTCTTCCCCTATTTACAAAAGCTTTCTTTCTATTTTTTCCTTCTTTTCTCACTTTTTTCGTTTCCCTTCCTTCCTTTCCCCTCCCGTCTCCCTTGTTCCCCTTGGTTCATGAACTCAATTCTTTCCACAGTTCTGGTCATATGAGTCAAAGCAGCAAATCGAATTCAGTGTTGACCTGATGGGGAGATTTGATGTAGTTCTCGTTCAGTTCAGTTTGCAACCACAGTCGTGCAGAGAATTGAGTTTGTGACTCAAGGGACCACTCTAATTTTGTCTTCATAGCACAGGTAACTCACACACAGTGAGGAACTGTACTCATAATCCCCATATTAACAGTCAGTGTTATGTAAATCGATCCAAGTGTTTCCTTACCACTGAGATACACAAATAGTGTCTTCAGCCGCTTATATTAAATACACTGACAAAAAGCTTTTATTGTGAAATAGTGAAACAAAAGGAAAGGATCAGCTCAGAATTTATCAATGGGTTTAAATAATGTTACATATGCTCAGAGCACTTCAAAAACTTGTAATTTAGCCAGAAATTCTGTAACCTGCAGAATGAGGTAAAACTGTAAGGTTCCAGGCGTCGCCCTGCTCGCCCTGCTGCTCTGCCCACACTGTCCCTCTTCTCCTTGCAGGACTCCGCGTGCCAGGACTGCACAGGGACCGCCAGCAGCTCCTGCTCCATGCCCCAGCCGCCTCCAACCTCGAGTGCCAGCACGGGCACCAGCACCCGCAGCTCCAGCTAACAACACAGTGGCCCACAGCCCGGCCAAGGCTGGTGGCCAGGACCTGGTGGATACCCGGGCAGGGCCCCCTTTCCTGTGTCAGGATCCCGAACGCCCTTGCTCACAGGTGACAGGAATGACTTCAGCAGACCAGGTCCAGAAAGAAAGGCAGTGTTGGATGCTAGAAACTGTGCTCGTTTTCCCTAATGACTAGCTCAATAAAAGTTACTGGGTAGAGCCTTTCTTTTCTATATCAAACGCACTGTGAAGGGCATGGAGGGCTGCTCCTAAGAATAGTGATGGTGACCCTGGGGTTGATGTACTGCAAGATACACAAGCAGACCGGAATGGAGGGGCTGGAGAAGTGGCTCTGGTGCTGCACTCATGTAGCACGTAGCAGACCCTGTGTTTCACCCACAGCACCCAGGAAAAGAGCAATGAAAACGCACCGAGTCCCTCGATTACCTTTGCAACTTCAAGGGGAAAAGATCAAAGGAGATGACAATGACAGATGGTGCCTGTTTCCCAGGTGCTGCTGCACGTAAACTTTGTTTCTTCATTCCCATGACTACCTCGGAAAGTACCTCCACCAATCTGTGAACCCGCACTCAGGGAAAAGAAAGAGTAATATAAACCTGAATGTATTGAAAACGGTGTAACAGTTTCCGGACTGGAATCTGCTAATCTGGGCCTACAAGTGTTCTCACTAGCAGAAGAAAGAACTTTTTTTTTTTCTACTTTATGGCTTCAAAGTTAACTATCCGCCTTTTCCACGGCCCTGACTACCAGGAAAGGCATTGCTGTTCCAGGCCCCCCAAGTCATGTTGCAGGTTCTCCTGCACAAGCAGAAGTGCTGCTGAAATTAAAGCTGTCAGGTTTGTTGATGGCTGAGAGCAGTTGGCTCAGTGTGTACTAAGTGGTTCCCTGAATAAGAAAATCCTTATTTTGAGCCAGGAATCAGAGCTGTAGGTTGTTTGGAGGACGGCACTTGGGCATCTCCGTAGGAATCCTTTGGGGAAAGGGTGCATTCAGCAGGATTATGCTGGAGCTTCTGGGTCGTCTGATTCCTAGCTGTGACCTAAGATCCAGCTTGGTACCAGCTTAGAAACTTGTATATAAATACCCTAGACCGTATTATTATTTGGTAAAAAGGTTAAGCTGGGAAGGAGTCTGTTGTTCTGCAAGCCTGGCCTGTTCCTTGCTGGAGCTGAAGCTGAAGAGTACTAAGGGAAATAAAATCAATGATTCTGGCCTAATCTTACTGCCTTTTTTTTTCCTTTGTGAGCCTGGGTCACCTACATGAGCCAGCAGTGTTGTAGGTGCTGTGGATATTAGGGGAGCAAAACCCAAACACGACACAGTGAGCGTTACCTAATTAGCAAGGAGGCAGTGCTAGAACATGAACTATAAGGAAAAGTAAGTAATCACTTGAGGTTTTACTTGGTATTACACGTATTTAGCTTTTAAAAAAAAAATTTAATCAAACTTCAAAGATCTGTGGTTATTTTGCCCCACCAAATGCAAGGAGACTTAAGTATGAGTACTTCAACTTAATATTATGGCTAATCTTTCCTTAAAAATACGCTTTCCACATAACAGCATCAACAGGATGAAAGAGTAAGTTTAATGAAAGTTGTAGACATTGTGTGTAATAAAAATTACAGAAGTCTGCCACACAGAAAGCACGCTGTGTATTCACATGGACTGGAAGGCATCCACAGTGACCCAGAGTGAGTGCAATCCCTATAAAAAAAAAAAAATCACTCAACCACTTGGGAGGCTGAGGCAGCAAACAAAAGTCCTAAAATTCATAGAGAAAGAATCTCAAGGGAGCCCCAAATAACCTTGAAAAAGAACAACAAAGCTGGAGGTCTCAGTATGTCCTGGCTTCAAAACTCACTCTAGAACTATACTGATCAAATCATAACAGTACTAGCATAGAGACAAAAACACAAACAAGTGGAATAGGGTAACCCAGAAATACACCTTTAAGTAGATGGGCAAATTGGTTTTAATTATCACTCACTGGTAAAGGACAGGTTTTTTTTCTTCCAGAAACAATGTTTTAAATATTGGATAGCCACAGGCAAAAAATGAAGTTGGACCCATATACATAAAGTAAAATGGATCAAAAACCTCTGTAAGAACACAAACGAGAAGAAAATAGAAGAGCTTAAAACAATAAAAATGAGCGAAGTGCTTGAAGGAAACATTTCTCACACAAAGAATGACGCAGATGCTCAGTGATCTGTGCAGAGGAGCCCCACAGCCATAAACACTGCGGAACTGCAAAGTAAAACCACAAGGAGAGCCTTTAGTACACAACTGTACTGTGCAAACGGGGAGGCTAAGGCTGAGACAGGAGAATCGAGTAGGCTGCCCAGGCAACTAACTTACCAAGACCCGGTCTCAAAAAAAAATGCTAAGGAGGTAAATCACTGTTCTGTCCCCAGCAGTGCAAAAGATAAAAGACAAAAGAACACATATTTGCAAAGACGTGCAGAAAATAGAACCCACATTCACTTAATGGAAATGTAAAACTACATTAATACAGCAATCTCTTAAAAAAAAATTACTAGCAATTCCATTTCTGGGTGTATGTCCAAAAGAATTAAAAACTGCACCTCCTCTAAGTATGTTGGGCTGGAGATGCAGCGTGGTGGCAGAGCACTTGCCCAGGCGTGTGAGGTTCTGGGTTTGATATGCACTGGGGAGGAAACTGTACACCTGTCCAGCACAGTATTTAAGGGCCACTAGTATTGTCTGTGCCAAGTGGATGGACCAACGAAGTGTGGTGTATACCCGAACAATTCAGCCTCAGGAAATGCTTCTACCACACGGCTAACGCTTGAGGACAGTGATGTGAGCCAGGCACAGGGAACGCGTCCTCCAGGACAGGAGGTACCCAGATGAGGCCAAATGAGAAAGTGGAACCATGGCTGCCAGGGCTCAGAGCAGACAGTAATGGGTGATTAATGACTCACAGGTAGTCTCACTTGGGGAAATGACAAACTGGTGATAATGGCTGAACAGCAAGGTAAATGCATGGTGCTACATAATTTTTTTTTTTTTTTTTTGAGACAGGGTCTCATGTAGTCCGGGCATGGCTTAAACTCTTTATGTAGCCCAGGCTGGCCTCAAACTCTGGGCCATCCTCCTGCCTCAGCCTCCCAAGTGCTGGGATTACAGGTGTGCACCACTACACCTGGCTCAACTGTAACTCTTAAATGGTTAAAAGTTTTAGATATGTTTTATCAGTTTTTAAATAGTGCTTTCTAGAATGATGAAGAATACACAGACATTCATGCGCACTTGGATCGTTACTCAGGCCTGTGCAGCGAGCTAGGCAGCAACCACACACCAGGGCAGCGACGCACTCCACCTCCACCTCCACCTCCACCCCTAGCGCTGGGATTCAAGCGCGGCCCTCCCACATTCTCCACAGCTGCTCTGCCCTGCGCTCCGGCCCCAGCTGTTTTCGTTTACCTCAGCCTCCCTCAAAGCTGGGACCACAGGAGTGTGCTACACAGATCACGTTTTCTGATACCACTGTCCTATGAAAGGAAACCTGGAACTCCTTGGAGAAATGGCAATTCCGGGTCTGGGAACAAGGAATCAGCTGGGAAAAAAGGAGCTGGCTGAAAGAACTCCCAGCGGCCAAAGATGAAGAAATGTGAGCAACACAGTAAACAGTAGTACTACTATGGAACACCAGCGTAACAGAGGTGACAGCGCCTGTACAGCACAGTCCCCAAGACTTTATGTGGACACCACCACCCCCTGTGCAGAGCTTCAGTGCCCCTCCAAGACGAAGGGGCTCAGCAGCACCGAGCACCAACCTGAGCTGTCACACTGCTGAAAGGCACCTCCCTATGTCGTGGGCCTTCTTTCAACCAGGCTGAGCAGAAATAAAACGCCCACATCTGAGAGGCATCTACAGAATGACTCCCGACAGCTGTCACGGTCACCAAGAGTCTGAAAACCTGAGGTCATCAAACCACCCTAGGGATAACGAAGGGCAGCGCGGCCCTAGGATGAAAAGGGCACTAAGAAAAGCTAAGGCACTTAAGTGCGATGTAGCCATCTACAACGCTGCTTCCTGCGCTGAGACAAATGCACTGGAATTTGCTGGCCACAGGCAGAATGGGTAAGGTGCAGAGGAACCTCAGGAACGGCAACATCCTATGTCCCCTGAAACTATTCTGAAACTAGAAGCTCATTTAAGTAAAAAATCACAGCCAGGAGTGGTGGTGCACACCTGTAATCCCAGCATTCTGGGAGGCTGAGGTGGGAGGATCACCAAGTATGAGCCCAGCCTGGACAATTTAGCAAAACCCGGTCTCAAAACTTTAAAAAAAAGGCTAGTGGGTACACAGAGTGAGTCCCGACAGCTGTCACAGTCCAACAGGGGCCCTGGGCTCCATCCCCAGCACAAAAACAAAGTGCTTTCATACTCCACAAGTACAGTGGAGCCCACCAGAACCTGCCTGAACTGCCTCAGCAGTTTTTCCAAGGAGGATCTGAGAATTTTTCACAGATAAGCAGGGTAGACTTACAAGACCATATCTGTAGCCAGTATATAAAAATGTACATAAAACTCTCCCACGGGTCAGACCATCCTCAGAAGGACCGAGGCGCACTGGGCACAGCACGGTGACCCTGAGGGCACTCGAACCACTGCCCAGACAGCCTCCCCTCATCCCTGCTCACCACAAGCTGCAGCCCGCAGGAAAGAACTGCACTGAAGCACAGTAACAGCCGTTTGGATCTGTGCTGAAACTTCGTTCTAATGATCTAGGCTAGTCCCCCTTCTCCTCAGGCCTCTGGAGGAGCCATTTCTTGTCAACTGCCAAGGTCATTTCACTCACTCCTACCATCGGGAGGAAGGTTTGTCTGTCATCTCAACCGCCTTTGTGGTATTTGAACATGCCAGTCAATACCCAATCCAAAACCAAGCGCTGACAGTTCTACGTGTGGAGTAACAAACTAGTCAACTTACCTTGAAATGTGAAACTAACCAGGCGATTGGTGCACACCTGTAATCCCAATACTTGAGAGGCTAAAGCAGGAGCAGTGTGATGAGTTCCAGGCCAGCCTGGGCTACATAACTGAATTAAAGGCCAGCCTGAACTACATAGCGAGACCCTGTCTCAAAAAAAAAAACAAACAACTGTGGTCACATAGGAACCTTTAACACTTAGTTAGATCCCAAAAAAGGTAGTTTGGTGCAAAGGCCCTGAGCTCAACCCCTACTACTGAAATAAAAAAATGGGGGGACCAGGTACACTTGACATGCTCCTGTTGTTCCTGTCCTCCTTGTCCAGGCTGAGTGCCAAAAATCACTTAAACCCAGGGGTCTGGAGCCAGTCTCTTAAAAAATGCTGGGAGTGGGAGCACCAGCCCATAATTCCAGCGCTCAGAAGGCAGGCTCAGGCAAGAGCATCAAAAGTTCAAGGCCATAGGGCTGGAGATCTAGCTCAGCGGCACAAGTGCCTGCATGGCAAGTGAAACGTCCTGAGTTCAATACCCGGCACCAAAAAAAATTAAAAGTTCAAGGCCAGCCTGGGCAATGCAGTAAGAACTTGTCTCAAAAATAGGGTCTCACCTTTTCCTCGGGGCCCATCTTGAACTACCTATGAAGCCTAGGCTGTGTCATACTCAGATCCTCCTGCCTCAGCCTCTCAGAGTGCTGGGATCACAGGCATGCACCATCACATCCAGTCTCCAAGACTTTGTAAAGGACTGGATATTGAATCTAGTGCCTTTTCACACTGGACTACATCCTCAACCCTTTATTATTTTTTAATTTTGAAATAGGGTCTTGCTAACTCACTAAAATTGCCCAGGCTGGGTTCAAACTTGGGATCCTTCTGCCTCAGCCTGCCGAAGTGTGGTCTGTGCCACCAGGCCCAGCTGCCCACCGTTCTTTTTACACAAAGGATTAAGAAAAAACTGAATCTCCTTGCTAAAATGTAGTATTGGGTCCAAGACCGAAACAGACACTTCACAATGACATACTCTAGAAGGCAACTGAGGCATGAGAAGCCGCCCATCAGGTCCCTGCTGAAGTGGCATCTGCAGTCCTGGCCAGCCCCAGGAGCAGCACACCCCAACACGAACCTCACCCAGCGCAGCAGCAGGGGCGCGGGGCTCCTCAGCAAACCTGCAACCACTGCAGCTCGGCACAATGAGCTTCACAGCAACGTCCCTCTCCTGGACCCCAGCAGCAACTCCAGCCACCACCCTGCTGCACACCCGGACACGACCGAGTCCCCTTCTGCTCTGTCCCGCCCACTGGGAGCTTAGGGCAGGGCTGCCAAGGCCTCCCAGAAAACTGCCACAGCCTTTGGGCCACCAGACCCACCACCGCCGGCGAGGCAAGGCGCAGCCTGTCCCCACCCACACAGGGCAGCCGGGGGCAAGGCTCCACTGTCGCACCCGGTCACACTGCACACACTGCTCTGCTCTGCAGTCTGTAAGAGGACGATTAGAAGACAGAGGAAAACCCCCTTCACGGCTCCTCAATAACACATCAGGGTGCACAGACACTGTAACAAATCGGGAGACACAGATTTCTCTTTATTGGGTACAAATAAGAGTACTCCACTCCGTGACACAGTCTGCATCCTCTCCCAGCAGCTTCACCTGCCCAGTCAGCAATGCCCACAACTGCATCAGGCAGAGCAGACTCACACCTGTCCTCCCGCCAGCCGCGCACACCCAGGGAGCGGCTTGAAGGGCAGCGCGGCCGCCAATAGCTCGGCAAGGTGTGTGCCTGCCTCTTCCCTTAGAGGGATGTGATGAGATTCATTAGCTGACAAGGAGATAACTGCAAGGGAATAAACTCGCCAGCCCCAGCCCCTGCAGACCCTCAGCCCTTTCCCACAGTAAAGCAGAGCCCGAAGCAATCTGTGAAACGGGAGAGAGACGTCACACCCAAGAGCTCAGCACCTGTGGCAACACACGCCCAGAACCCGCATGTGGAAACTCTGCCATCTCGTAGTACAGCAGTTAAGTACATTCTAATAGCAGGATTTTTTAAAATACAACTGAAAACTTACCATTTCTTCTTATATTAATATGCCACGAGTTCATGTAATAAATATATATAAATATAATATGTATATATTTGACTCCCATAATCCAGTAATAAATTCTCTTAAATAATTTTCAGTCTAAAACAAGCTTTCATTGATATTCTACTTACAGTACAAGGACTGACACCTTAACTGGTAATCAGAGGCAGATAGATACTAAATGGGAGAAAAATTTCTCTTCCAGACATCACCTATGCAAAATCTGGGCAAACTCACAAGAAGAACTAGAATTGCATCTCACAGGGCAGCTGTCACCTTGCAAACAGGAACGAGTGAAAGAAGGTATACAGGAGGACTTTAACTCTCCGACACAGATGCACACAGAGTTAGTTTATTAACGACTACATTTGGAAGCCAGCCGTCTGGTCCAGTACTGAAAATAGCAAGCTGTTTAATACGAAAGCAGAAGGGAATGCCACAGTGTACAGAAGTACAGCTTACCCGTAGCCCTCACACAGTTACGCAGTGAATGCTATTTTTACCTAAGCAAGGCACCCTACTTGTTCTAAAATATAGGCTGGGCTACCCCACTGAAGAAGCAAATGAGGGACCTGCATTTCCCCCATCTGGTTTAAAGTCAAGGGAAGCCACTAAGGTTCTTCCCAATCTACTGTTTTGACACACAGTATCACTTACAGTTCTGATGCTAACAAACACCCGTAAGGTTTACCCAAAACCAAAAATAATTAGGGTGAGGGGCCAGATAACCTTTCAGTTGAGACCAGATTTCCCCTTAAGTAGACAGGCACCAGTGCTACAAGGCTTTGCACAAGGCCTAGAAGGCAAAATACTTCTAAAGACATAAAACTGCCAAACTGTCTTACACTCACCTTTTGTCTTTTCAATTCCTACCCCCACCTAAGTAACCGAATAAAGCTAAAATTGAATCTTTTCCCAAACCACACTCCTTTAAAAGTCTGAAATCCTTTCCTGCTTTGGTGAGTGGTTAAAATATATCATTATTGTAACCCCTTGAGAGGTTTTGTATCAGAGCTCTTAATTCATAGGCAAAAAACTAACACCTTAAAAAGATTATTTTTTAAATGGGAGAAAGATTTTAACAAATACTGCTGAATAAAAATATGTAGTCTTTACACTGGGCAACATATCCTCTATGAAAAAAAAAACAAAACAAACAAACAAAAAAAACTGTTTATATAAAATAAAGACCAGATTCTTTTAACCAGATCCTGGGCAGCTTAAACAAAAATTGTAATTTGTGGTTTATTTCATAATCCCAAACTGCATCTTTCTCTCTCTAATCAGTCCACTACAAATTTATCTTAGATACAATTAACCAAAAACCTCAAAATCTTTTCTCTAGCAGCTGCTGCCAATATACTGGAACTTGGTATCTCATGTCCAAGAAACATGTGCAAACGAAATGCTTTCTTCACCCTGAAACAAAAAATGGTACACATTTACTTAAAATGAGAAAGGATTTTACCGGTGGTTCCCAGTACCATTTGAAAAGACAAATGTCAGCATCTTTTTCTGACTGACTGCAGGCTATCTGAGAATGAATGAATTTCAGGTGCAGAGAATCCATTACGCATCAGTGGACACAGTCTGGTAAGGAGACGGAGTTCTAGAAGTGAGTGTAGGGTACATTCTATATAACTGAGCTAACCTAGACACTTTACATCACGGGACACAGCCAGAACAGCGCATAGCAGTCAGAGTAACAGAGCACCCACATGTTTTCGCAACGTTACCAGTGCAGTGTGTGTGAGAGCACACCACTGCATGCAGAAACATGACTGCACTACAGATCGCTAAGACACTTCATGAGAGAAAAAAGATCCTATATATTCAGCAAGAGATGGGACAAGGCAGATTTTGTAGATATGAAACCATGTACTTCCTGAGACAAAAAATCATTTTCATAATACCATCTGGGGAAAGGCAAACAGTGGCAAGTTGATGTGTATCAGTGATGCTCCCTGCTTTCAAAGTAACATCCTCTTCGCACCCTGAAGGTATCTTACGACTGAGATGTGTGCACAGGTCAGTGAGAAGAAAAGTGAAGGCAAGGTCTACTTGCCCCGTGCCATGACTAAGAGCTACTAGAAGCAGCTACACAGTTACTTGTGGGGCACACAGCATAACTGCTAGGAAGTATAGGGCGAGGTTCTACACAGGGGCGACAGCCACGCACTGTCATCACAGTGAGTGTGCAACCCCGGGAGAGTTCCCAGTCTTTCTGCTCATATCTCAGTTACCATTCCTTAAATGCTTATTACAAAGAGAATCTTTGGGGATATAGCTCAGAAGAGCACCTGCCTCTCAATCCCCCATACTGAAAACAAAACAAATGGACCCCCCAAAAAAGAGAATCGTGGGTTAGTGATATAGCTCCACAGCACAAGCACCTGCCTGGCAAGGGCAAGGTCCTAAGTTCAATCCCCGGTACCCCCAAAATAAAAAGAGAATCGTTTCCACTATATTACCAGTTAGTAAGTTAATGATTTTATCAACTGAGAATAATTTCTAGTTATACCTGTTATCTTATTACAATAAACTTACCTTAATATCCAGAACTCCTGAAGTCTTATTTTCCTTTTGGACATGAGTTCAGGAACAGTTCAATATACCTATGGTCTAAAAAGAATTATTCAAAAAAGATTAGCTGTAAGAAAGTTGTAAAGGAGTCAGGTGTCATGGTACAAGCCTGTAATCCAAGAACTCTAGGAGGCTGATGCAGAAGGATCAAACCCAGCTTGGGAAACTTAGGGACTTAGCAAGACCTCTGTTTCAAAATAAGAAATAAAGAGAAAGCTCAGCACAAGGGCCCCAATCCTCAGAATCACCAACAGAAAAAAAAAAAGCTGAAAAGTCAGAAAAAATATTGGCCCCATTTTTCTCATAGTCCAGACAGCAACTCAAGCCCTCTGCCATTTCCCTGGTTACAAACAAACTTAAGTGGAGAGTGATGGTGCACCTACGCTCCGAGCTCAGAATCCCAAGTTCCAGGCTAGGCTGGGGAACCTGGCAAAGCCAACTCAAACTGAAACAGGGCCAGGGATACAGCTCACCCACACAGCGCCTGCCAGGCAAGCACAAGGTCCAGAGTTTGATCCTCAGTACCAGAAAAAAAAACAAAAACAAACCCTAAACCAGGGGTGGGAATGTAACTCAGGAGGCCTGGGTTCAAGCCCCAGTGCCCCAAAGCAAAATAAAGCGAAAGGCAAAATAAGGCCAGGCGTGATGGTACACACTCATGGGTCACCACCAGAGGCTGAGGCAGGAGGATCGCTCGAGCCTCTGGAGTTTGATCAGTCCCAGCAACAAAGCAAGATTCTCATTTCAAACAAATTACAACTGAAAAATGTAACCACTGCACAATCAGTGTTTTCATTATAATGATGGGCAGTCATGCAGACAAGCAAAGACAATACTTACGCACGTGGGACCGGTCCTTGAGCATCGCCGCCACGGCGTCCTCGTGGCTGTCAAAGTGCACATCAGCCTCGCCCGTGGCCTTCCCAATAGAGCTGTACTCCATGGTGATCCGCACAGGCTTCAGTGGCATGAAGAACTACATGACACATGGCAGACAAGACAGCATGCTGAACCGGTTGGTCTGAGAGCCAGCCCTGCAAAGTTCTTTCATACCCTGCAGCTACACCTGGTAATTTTGCTTTTCAGGGTCTCCCTTTCAAGCAAAACTGGTTACAGTTCTCCCAAAAAAACTAACTAAAAAGAATCACAATAAAACCCCCTCCCCCAATCTTTTATGGGGTTTTTTTTTTGGAGACCAAGTCTCACTATGTAGTTCAGACTGGCCTCTAACCTCACTGTGTAGCCCAGGCTGGCCTCGAACTCACAGCAATCATCCTGCCTCAGCCTCCTGAGTGCTGGGATTACAGGTGCGAGCCACCACACCTGGCAATAAATATTCTTCAATCCTTAATAACTCATGTTTTCCCAGACATGGTGATAGATGCCTGTAATTTCAGCACTCGAGATACTGAGGCAGGAGGATTATGAAAGGGCGGCCTGAGCTACATAGCAAGTTTAAGGCTGGCCTGGACTACATAATGAGAGCTGTCTCAAAAAAATTGTGCTTTAATCAGACACATACTTCATCATCCAATTTTTGAGTACTGCATCAACAGAACTACCACACAGAGTGGTTACTGTTCCAAAACAAGGCAGCAGAACACAATGCTTCAGCACAATGTGCAGCGTTCACTCAGATAAAGATACAGGTCCTAGGCAGAATGGTGGCACACACTGTAGTGTCACCTACTTGGGAGGGTAAGGCAAAAGTATCACCAAGCTCAAGGCCAACCTGGGCAACTCAGTGAAATGTCTTGGAATAAAATACACACACACACACACACACACACACACACACACACACACACACACACAGGGCTGAGCGTGTGGCTCAGTGAAGAGTGCCCCTGGATTCAATCCCCAGTTCCCTAACACCACCCAAACCAGTGTGCTGACTGCTATGACTAGTGTCAGGCTCTTTGAAATACTGATGGCAAATCCGAGGCTTCACCAGTAACTAAAAAATTTAGGTTTGATCTATGTTTCAAACATGTTCTCCAATTCATAATGCCCAAAGTTTTGTGTTCTGTTGTTTTACTGCATATAGTGTCTACGGTAAAATAAAAATGTACTTTACATTCATTTTCCCCAAATTCAAGGAATACTGCAAGAAAATTCCACGGTAGCCAGGCGTAGAAGTGCGCTCCTCTAACCCTAGCACTCTGGAGGTCGAGGCAGGAAGATCGCTGTGAGTTTGAGGACAATCTAGGCTACATAGTGAGACTGTCTCAAAGAAACAAAACCAAACTACGCGGTGTCCCCTGACAATGCTAGGCATGTCAGCCCTAGATTCTAGGGTGGTACACACGGTCCCAGCTTCAGGGTGGTTTCCTAGTTCCAGTGAGGAGTTTTGAGTACACAACGGCAGAAAAGCAATTCAAATGTAGTAAAAACCACACTGAAATTTGGTGGTTTTCAGACTAACAATACACAATAATACAGCTTAAGACATAGGGCATGGCGGCAGGCTGCAACTCCCAGCAACCCAGAGAATAAGGACCGTTTGGAGCACTGCACAGGGCCCTGGCTATTAGGATATGCCACGCAAGAGTTAGGGGACCAAGCACTCTCAACTTGCGCTGCAACCCCTCACAGGTCCAGGAGCAGCTGTTATAACTGCTGTCTCACCGAACACTTGAGTCTCAGTTTCCTAAACTAAAAACTCAATAATAAGTTATTAAATTAGGAAACCTAATTTTAATTACTAAACCTACCTCGTATTATTTGGCATCTACAAATTCCTTGAATCTGCTTTTTTCTTTCAATATAATACAAACCCACACTTTTTTTTTAAGACACATGGTCTCACTAACCGTGGTGGCGCATGCCTGTAATCCCAAAACTCAGGAAGCTGAGACATAAGGACTGCTGGTGAGTTTGAGGCCAACCTGGGCTACATAAGCAAGTTCAAGACCAGCCTACACTATGTACTGAGACCTGGCCAAAAAAAAAAAAAAAAAGAAAGACACAGCCTCACTATGCTGCCCAGGTTAACCCTGAACTCCTGAGGTACAGGAAACCTCCTGCCTCAGCCTCTCAGTAGCTGGGAGGACAGTCCTATGCTATCAAACCCAGTTATGCCACACTTTCAGCTACAGTAAATGAAACAAGCTTTCCAACAAGGGATATGTTACCTGACTATCCAAAGATACTCCAAAAATATCTTTCTCCCTTTCCCATTTTAACATAAGTTCAATTTCAGAACTCCCAACCTAGTGGGCCTAGGTATCTTACTGCACACACATTTATGATGTCCTGTGCGTTAGCGTGGAAAGGCAGCCCTCTCATGTGCACGACATGCGGGGAAGGTGTGGCTCCAACATCAGCAGCCTCTGGAAGCTTCTCCGGCATCTCCTTTGGCAGCTCTGAGAGGGAGAACAAAACAAGGGCAAACTCTCCAAAAGCCACTAACACCAAGACCTCTGATACCAAAATTCCCATTTCTTCTGGAATCAGCACAGAAGGGCTCCCAAAGCCACAATGGTGACATGAAATGCCTGCCTCTTACCAAACCCCCGGAGTCACTAGTGCTTCAAACCATCACCAAGGTAAGAACTCTCTTGTAACAACAGAGAGAAGGTAAAACGATCATGACAGAACCTCTAAAGCAAGGAAAATTTGCTGGGTTACAGGTATTACATATAACAAAGACATAAAACTGGAACTGTATCATAACCTCTGTAAAAGGTACTTCAGTACATATTTATAAACACATATTTATAGTGACAGGACAATCCCAGGGTATCCATTTCAAAAGCATTTACTAAATTTCAAAGATTCCAAAGGTTGCTTTGGGGTTAGGAATCAAATAATTAAATCCAGAGGCAAACAAAAATCTTTCAGTCACTATTTCTGCTCTCTACCCAACTGTCCCCCTCACACACACCTGCCCCTGCCGTTTAAATGTTGTCATTTTACTTCCTTTTATTACCTTTTTAGTATTCAGCTTCTGGTAGAGTACAAAATGACTAAGTTAAAAACACATAAGGGGGCTGGGGATTTAGCTCAGCAGCAAAAGCGCCTGCCTGGCAAGCGCAAGGTCGTGAGTTCGGTTCCCGGTACCGGAGAAAAACCCAAAAAAAACAAAAAAAACAAAAAACACATAAGTAAGCCCTCCTGCATCTACTCGAAGTACCTTTATACTCCGTTAATCTTTTTTTTTTTTTTTTGGCTTTTTGAGACAGGGTCTCACTATGCAGTTCAGGCTGGCTTTGAGCTCACTTTGTAGCCCAGGCTGGTCTCGAACTTGGAATGATCCTCCTGCCTCAGCCTCCTGAGTGCTGGGATTATAGGGGTGCACCACCACACCTGCTCCATTATATCTTTAACTCAGTTCCCTCATTCTCCTACAATCTCAAAATTTCACATCAAAGTTATAAAAAAAAATTAACACAAACCAAAAACATACAGTGCAAGCCAGGCGTGGGACGCACGCCTGTAATCCCAGCACTTAGGAAACAGAGGCAGGAGGATCACTGCAAGTTTGAGACCAGCCTGAACTACATAGCAAGACCCTGTCTCAAAAAGACCAAAAATCAAAAACAAACAAAAAAAAACACAGGGCAGGACCCCCACCCCCCCAAATCTCAAGCACCACCAAGACCTTACCTATCTCCTTCTCACTTTCAAAAGCTGTCACGGGTCCAATATCCTCATTTACTTCCTGTTCTTCAAAGACTACATCGGGTTCAGTCGTATACTTGGCAGTAGGAGAAGATGCCATTTTCTTTCCCTTATGAGAGCCAACATGTGTTCGAACTTCAGTCTTCCTGCTTGGAAATATCTCTATGTATCTACGAAACATGGTGCCAATTAACAACAGCGACGGATACCAGTCCATGCGAAAGTCATCTCCGCAGTGGAGTTAATGATGGGATCTTTTCGCCAAGCTAATGCTTTCCTCATGCAAGTTTTGAACAGTGTCTGAGAATAACCTGGCTAAGCTGACTGCACACACAGGAAAGGATCTGGGACTCCTGTACGAACCGGGGTGCTGTTCCAGGAAGGGCACAGCTACGGGGAGTCAGGCCTCCAACAGCAAGCAGTTACCACAGCCCGGGCCTAACCTGAGCGGCTTTCTGCTCCCCTGCTCCAGGATGTGATTTCTTGTACATAGCCCTTTTAGACAGGCTCCCCAAGACCCGGCCCACATAGTAGACTCGGCATCTGACACTGTGAGCTAAGTTAACGTCTTTCCTTTATAAAGTCAGCTGGCCTCAAGAACTTGCTACCATAATGAAATGCAGGTAAGTATAAGGCTACTTTCGTCTCACCACCCTGATGCCTTGCAACTGCAAATAACAGTCACCTCTGTACTAGATGTTAAAAATGTCAATGTGAACAGAACTTCAAGAAGAGGCTAAGGAAAATTCCGGAACTAAGTATCAGCTCTAACTTGCCATCCTAGTGACAGCGGGACTACTCTTCCAAGACAGACTATTAAATGGGAGCTATGAAAACCAACTGTATTTAAAAAACCTAGGAAGATTAAAGAGGAGGCAAGGGTGTAGCTCAGAGGCACAGCTCTGCAGAGCATGTGATCCCCAGAACCACACAAAGAAAAATGTTCAAGCACCACTTCTTTTTTTTGGTACCGAGAACAGAACTCGCAACCTTGCGCTCGCCATGCAGGCGCTTGTACCGCTGAGCTATATGCCCAGCCCTAAGTACCACTTTCTTAAAAAGACTTTTGGGTCGGGCATATGGCTGAGTGACACAGTGCCTGCCTGGCAAGTGCAAGGTCCTGAGTGCGATTCCCAGTACCAAAAATAAATAAATACATAAAACAAAAAGACCTTTGAACCAACTATATAGTATATCCTGAAATACACTAGCCTTGGAGTGGCTTTATGTTCAACCATACTAAGTAAAAAGGTCAAAAAGCATAAAAGAATCATGTAAAATCTGTTTTTACGATTTGTCCAAAACTCAGATCGAAACATACATCATGATGAGCTTCCTGATGTTACACACACACAAGGCCCTGACAAGCAGCTGACCATTTCCTCTAGGCCAACGGCAGCCACATGGAGCTCAGGGTGGAGCACCTGGGCTCAAGTCCACAAAACAAGCTCAACCAACACACAGGAGCAGCCAGCCGCATGGCACCGCCTGCAATCCCAGCAATGGAGGCTGGGAGGAAGGCGGACCACAAGCCCAAGGCCCGCCTGGGCTACAGAGAGTACAAGGCCAGTCTCCAAAAACAAAAGGTGAAGTACTGAAAAAGACAAAAAAAGAGAGAAAGGCAACAATCTACCAAATGTTCATGTCCATCCAAGTCACGAGTATGGCTCACATTTGGCTGTATCACTGGGCTCCGTTCCCAGCCCATCTGCACTATCCGCGTCTGGAGAACCTTAGCAGTCATCACAGTGCACTTATCAGCACGACCTGACACACAGATCCTCCACATCACCAGTCTCCTTCACTCACCGGTTCCCAATTTCCTCCCTGTGTTTCATCAGGGCCTGGCTAGCCATTTCCGGTTCTTCAAATTGTACGTAGGCTTCCCCCGTTTTCCTCCTGCCCCTGTAGTCCATCACAAAAGTGATGTCCACTATATTCAGTCCTAGGACGCAAGAACATTACTATAAATCAGTTCTGCTACCAGAACTACTTTTTCATCCTTAGAATTAACACATTTACTTACACACTCATAAAATCTGTAAGGTTTTCTGCCAATCCCCAAGCTGGGCAATAGTGAATGGGGAAGTACTACACAGTCAAAGACATATATACTTGTATTTCTACAATGTGCAGTTCAAGCAGACCTTCTAAAGCACGCAACTCACTTGACTTTTTTTTTTTTGCCATAATTTGTATTCTAAGAAAGAGATTTTTGACTAACATAGATACTAAGGGCATATATTTTATATGAATCAGATGTGTTTAAATCATAGATTGCCTTTGTCTTAGCCAACTACTCTGAGAAGGTACTTTTTTTAAGATGCACTATCTCCATTTGTTTAGATCATCTTTATTGCTTAAACAATGTTCTGTAGTTGTCACTGTGTAAGTCTTACACTGTCCTTTGTTAACTTCTTTTTTTGTGCCATGCCCTTTTTTATTCATGCACACTGGTTAGTTTAATGGCACCCACCCCGCAAAGGCCTTCTGTTAAGTAGCAGAACAAAGCCTTATGAAATTGTTCTGGCAGGGCATGGTGGTGCACATCTGTAATCCCAGCACCTGGGAGGCTGAAGCAGGAGGATCATTGCAAATTCGAGGCCAGCCTGGGCTACATAAGTGAGCTCAAGGCCAGCCTGAACTGCATAGGGAGACCCTGTCTCAAAAAGACAAAGAAAAAAAAAAAGAAATTGTTCTGAAGTGTGACACAACCCAAAGACCAGCCTGAGCAGTCAAACTCTTCTAAGATACCGAAGGAAACGGGGAAAGAAGCAGACAAGGAGAAATGACGCCTCCAACACAATTAAACTGCTGAGCACCTGCAAAGAAGTCCACGATGTCCTTCTCATTGCAGCTGTATGGAAGGCCCCTCAGCCGAACCACACCATCGTTGGCTGGCAGGGAGGCTTTGACCTGCAGGCTCTTCATTAAGGCATCCACATCTTCATTGTTTATCTCATACACTGCAAGGGAAAAGCACAACATGGATACAGAGTCCACCTGACAAAGGAAGCCAGTTTTTGTAAAAGTATGTTACTCGTACAGTTAGACACTGGGCCACTCCCTCCCCTTCATTCAACTGTAAACACCGCACCACCTAATGATCACCCATATCCCCATTTTCCTAAGACAGGAAGTCACGTGAGCCACCCCTTCTCTCCTTCAACCACAAACACACCACCACCCTCTTGGCCTGCGGATGGCTGACATCGGACAATGACCGCGGGGCCACCTTGGGTCAGCGGTGTCTGACCCTATAAACCGGAAGGCTGAGTTATCCAGGGCCTTTGTTCCCCTCGCCCTCGACTCCCCCCTTCACCCTCCTTCTCCTTCGCGTTTCTCCCTGCTCCTGCTGTCGTCTCGTTATCTTCAATGCACATAGCTACTCATGATGTACTACAAGGTGTGCGCTTGGCAATCCTTTCCCGGTTGTACACACGAACTAGTTTTGGCCCACTCAAACACTACCACTTCATGAGTTTTCCAAAAATTCCAACACCAGCCTTACCCTGTATGCATGTCTCAAAAAAGTAACAAGGAACATTTACTGAATATTCATATGTGCCAGGCAGAGCCTATCCTCACAACTTCAAGATCAGCCTGAACCAGCAACCTTATTTCAGACAGGAAACTCAGATTCTCTGTATGCTTCATTTCACAGCTGTAAAATAATGTTTCCATAATACTCACCGACCTCACTACTGGCAAAGATAAAATAACAGCTTCCCAAGAAACGCACTCCACGGCTGCAGCCCGCCGCCCGGCTCACCTTCCACATACCGCTGGCCCATGTACATGCGGTGCTTCTCCAGGGCCTTCTGCACATCCTGCTCCGACTCCATCTCGATCAGGGCGTCGCCCCGGCGCTTCCCATCTCTATTTAAGAGAAAATGTACTCCCTTCTCACTGTTGCGGATTCTGCTGTCTGAAAGTATAGGAGAAGTCAATTAAAGACAGCCCGCAAGCTGTGAGCTCATGACACAAGTCACTAAATGCAGCTTCCTAGCAACACAACAGGAGCAGAATCCTCATCACGGGAGGCAGCAGCACCCATGAAGGGGTGCTGTCCGAAGCATCCTAAGCAGATGAGAAAACAAACCTCAGCACAGCAGCTGTGAGCTCCTCAGCATTCAGGATCAGCGTCGGCAGAGCAGAGCTCGCACTCAAACCACGCCTGGCTCTGGGTTGATCCCAGTAGGGTGGAAGCAATGGTTATGTCAGACCAGGCACAATTCAAATGCACTCTGTCCATTCCAATGTTTCCAAAACCAGCCTCAAATCAGGTAAGGAATGAAAATACGGCTAGGTTTACACATGAGCATGCGTCTTTAAGATCTATTCATAAAATATCTCCTCAGAGTTGCGCACAGAAGCACACCTACAATCCCAGCACTGAGGGGCTGGGGGATCACAAGCTTCAGTACTGTCCTGTGTCGAAAGAAGAAATAGAGGGTTGGGGGTATAGCTCAGTGGTAGAGCACTTGCGCTGCACATGAGCGGCCATGGGTTCAAACCTCATTCTGAAAAAAAAAAACCCTATGCAAATAATTTTGGAGCCAGGTATGGTGGTGCACACCTCTAATTCCAGCACTTGAGAGAGACTGAGGCAGGAGGATCGCCATGTGTTTGAGGTCCCGCCTGGTCTACATAAGTGAGTTCAAGGCCAGCCCGAACTATATAGAGAGACTTTATCTCAAAAAAAAAAAAAAAAGAAAGAAAGAAAAGAATTGAATTTGGGGTAACTTAGGAAGACTCTGCCTCAAAATAAAATAGGAGGGGGATGTAGCTCAATGGTACAGCACTTGTCTACCATGCATGAGGTCCTGGGTTGAACCCCTAGTACCATAAAAAATAACAATGATAATTTTGCTGCTATAATTTCATTTCTCCCCTTTGATTCTCTTAGTGCTTATTACTTTTGTTTGTTTTGGTTTTTTGGGACAGGGTCTTGATATAGTTCAGGCTAACCTTGAACTCACTATGTAGCCCAGCCCAGACTCCAAGGTGCTAGGATTTTAGGCATACACCGCCACACCCAGTGTGTTTATTTCCTATAATACAAATTGCAGATGTCAGCAAGTGGCGATTATAGCTGTGTACCACGCCTGGCTATTCTACATTTTAAAAGGAAATCATCTAAAAGCCTCATAAGAGGAAACTTTTAAACCATGGTACACACACACAAAAAAATACTCCTTTTTTAAAAAAAAAGAATATACTAGCCACACACTGGTACACTTCCCAAATATGGGTACTTTATGCAGGTGATCTTGTGTTCGAAATGTAAGTATTTCATAAAAAATTACCCTCAACCCCACATTTCCACCAATAGCTTTTTGTTACTTTTTTTTTTTTTTTGGCATGAGTTCAAGGCCAGCCTGGACTACATAGCGAGACCCTGTCTCAAAAAACAACAAAAAAATGGTTTGGTCTTGTAACTCAGTGGGAGAGCTCTAGGTTCAAGCCCCAGCACTAGAAACAGAAGAAAAAACTACCTAAAACATCTATAAAACTGGTCAGAGTGGAATGGGGCTGCAGTTAGGAGCTCCCTCCTGCAATCAGGAGCCTGAGACAGGAGGATCACTGAGCTAAAGGGTTCAACAACAGCCTCAGCAACACAGCAAGATCCTACCTAAGGGGCTGGGGATTTAGCTCAGCGGCAAAAGCGCCTGCCTGGCAAGCGCAAGGTCGTGAGTTCGGTTCCCGGTACCGGAGAAAAACCAAAAAAAAAAAAAAAAAAAAAAAAAAAAGAAAGACATACCTGAGAAAAAGTTAAGTACATCTTCTACAGTACATGACCAGGGCAGTCCTTGAGCACGAATGAGGTACACATCATCCACTTCCTCTCCTAACTTGGGAGGGACCAATTCATACTCCTGAGCAGGCGGGAGGTTTTCCAGGTAGGTGGGTTTGGACTCCTTTCAAGAGAGATGAAGAACTGTAAAAACACTTCACTGACAACCTACTTAGAAAATGTTTATGTCCACAACAGATGCTCTACATGTTAGAATTACTTCAAAGAAGCAACTTCACAAATCCAACTCGCCCTATTTTAGCTTAAATTGTACATGCTAAACCAATAAGCAAGTACAGTCTAGTGGTTTGGCAGGACACAAACTGTATTCAGAGCTTATTCATCAGGCCTAAAATTGTACCTAATAATGGTGACTTAGGTCAGAAAGAAAGGTCCCTCCAATGTGACAAATACTTAAAAGCCCCCTACTACATAGTGCACTGTATTAGACCTGATCTCAAAGAGCTCGCTACCTAGAAGACAAGTATATAAGACTAGATGCTCTAAGAATTCTTATCAAGATACAGAATGTCGCAGGAACGCACATCAGCGCTCCCAGAAAAAGAACCCGGGCGATGGGCGTAGCCAGAAGAGGAGGCCAGAATGTTCCAGCCTGAGGTGAGGAAGAGGCAAAGGCACACTTGAAAACTAGCAAGCCTATGTGCATAAACTGCAGGGTAAAAACAGGTGTCAAAGACAGCCTGCAGGTAAAATGAACTTGGCACCATGTAGCAGAGGGCCTCGAGTGTTGGGCTCAACAAGAATCCCTTTCCTGGATAGGCAAAACAAAGTGTAAAAACAGACATTAAGGAGTGGGTAGATCAGGGAGACAGCAGGCGGCCTTGGAAAGATTAAGCAACAGAGCAAGGGGAGGATCACAGAAGACAAGAGGACCTTGAGCCCTACCGACAAGTACTGCATTTGTAAGTCAGCCAAAGGCAGAAAGAGGTAACGATCCAACAAGCACTACAACCGTAAACTGGGACGGTAACTACGGCTTTAGCGATCAGTGGGGTTCGCGCCTGTACCCCTCCAGCACTGTGAAAGGCTGAGGCTGGAGGCTGGAGGACTGAAAGTTCAAGCCCTGCCCGGGCAATTTACTGAGCCTGTCTCAAAGAATAAAAAGGGCTGGCAATGTAGCTCAGTGTGGAGGACCTGGGTCCAAGCTTCAATCACTCCCCGCCATGACGACTTGCAACCTGCAAGCAGGGCAGACAAGGGTAGACAAATGCGTTCCTTTCACCGTTTCCACGAAAGCTTATGTCCAGGGTCTAGGAGCCACTGGTAAACGTAAGCACAGCGCCTCACACACGGTAATACTCCAAAGATTTTACCACGTAGTAGACTTCACAGGAGGAGATGTTTTCTAGAAGCCGGCTCACGAAGACAGGGTTGCCGTCGGTCTTTCAAGGCAACCTGTTCAATTTCCCAGAATTCCGGCAGCACCGCCAGGTTTTAGGAAGGGCGGTCAGAAGCGCGGCCCCGCGCCCGCGTCCCGCCCGCCCGCCCGCGCCGGCGGACT